AAGAAACGTGAAGTAAAGGAAGCAGTAAAACGCATCGAAAATGAAAGGCAGTACAGAATATTAAAGTACAGAGAAATGTAAATGCAGAAACCTCGAAATTGAGAAATGTAAATGGCGGGAATCGAAAATTCATGAAAGTAATATAGCAGGCAATCGAGATTGCAGTAGTGTAAATGGTAAGGAACTTAAACGCAGAATCTTAACTTGCATAAAGATAAAAATGACAAGGAATTGAAAAGACAGAAACTGAAAGTTGATAAACGTAAATTGCATGAAAGTAAATTACCAGGGAAAGTAAAGAAAGCGATAAAGACAATCAATGAAAATGGAAATCCAGATCGTCAAAAACTTCATGATTCGTCATTTCTCCGGTAGACTTTTCACTTGTGTTTCTGCTGTCTCTGCCAATTTCCCTTTCTTCTTCAGGCTTCGTTCTATTTATAGGCATCCTTCAATGTAACCTCCCAAGAGTAGTTAAAAAACTGTCCCCACGTTCCATGTGCATTTTAACCGTTCCTCGATTTCTAACCTTAGCTTACGGTGTAGAAAATCGCTTCCACGTTCCATGTGCATGATAATTGTTTCCCTCGATCTCGATTTCAGTTATCAAGTACGATTTCTCTTAACCTTGACTTTACACTATACTTTATCATTACTTTCATCGATTTGTTTCTCTATTTTCTGATTCTCGATTTATATGTTCATACTATCTCGTGGTCACCTGGTGTCTTCCAACCATCTTTCCGTTTTATCAACTTTTTAACCAATCTTATGATCTTCGATTTTCTCTCTTCTATTTTTCGATCTTTATATCGATTTTTCACTAACTACAATATTCTAACAATCACAAAATTTTATGTAGCCGAGTGGATTGTCACAATTTTAAGGAACAAATGACAAAAGTCCAACATCCATTTTGGTCTAAATTTCGCACCCAAACTCATCTTTTTACTTTTTCTTTTATATCTTAATAAGTACGTGAATGCAGTTTGGAGAGATGGGAAGGAAAATTATTATCAATTGGAATTAAAATTATTATAATTATTTTTAAAATAAATGGTGAATTGATTCGTTTAGCTCGTGGATTAAATAAACCAAATTCATTCGATAAAATTACCGAAAATACTCAAACCAAGATCATATTGACTCATAGATTACAATTTATATTAATATTTCTGATTTAAATACATTTTTCTTTTCTTCTTAGATATCCGTGTTCAAAGATAAATTTTTTATTATATGTTTAAAAAATATGACGCTTTAGTTAAAATTTTAATTTTTAAATATATAATATTTCGGATAAAATTTTTATTATCCGTTTAAAAAATATGACGCTTTAGTTAAAAATTTTAATTTTTAAATATATAATATTTTAAAAGTTTCGAATTGTATTTATTATTTATTCTTTCATTAATTATATTCTGATTTATTACGATATTATTATTAATTTAGAATTTTAATTACATTTTTATCCTTAAAATATGTTGGAGTAAGATAAAAGAGGAATATATATATATATATATATATATATATATATATATATATATATAATTAAATAACAAATTACTTAATATAATTTTGATTAAAAAGAATATTAAGATTATAAGAATATTAATAAAAAATAATAAATTTAATAATAATAATAATAATAATTAATATTTATATTTTTTTGAACAAAATATATATACATAAAAGTCAATTTTAAAACGTATGTTGAATTTAAAAAATATATTAAAGAAAATATAAATTAATATGTTATCATGTTTATAGGATTAGGATTGAACACTAAATAATATTTATATTAATAATTATTTGACTAAAAGATAGAAACAATAAATTTAATTTATCAGCGTCAGCAATTCAAAGAATTAATGGAGACACAACAAATATATATATATATATATATATATATATATATATATATATATATATATATATATATATATATATATATATATATATATATATATATATATATATATATATATATATGTTTGTGGTGGGTCTCTCAATCAAGTCAAAAGTATACATTATAAAATTTATCATTTCAATTCTATAATTTCAAATATTGTGTTGCCTTAATTCGTAACCCTAAAGAAAAAGTAAAAGGTGTTAGTATTAAAAAAAAAAAAAAGTTAACCCATACAAATTATTTGAAAATGTGAAGAAAAAAAACTTTCGGACTATTAAAAAGGTGTAAGTGACAATCTATTATTAATAATAATAATATTAATTATTATTATTATTTTATAAAAATATATAGTCATAAGTTTAACTATATATGAAAAAAATTTGGGTTTAACTACATATTTATTTTATTTGTTGACTGATGGGTTAATTTTGATGAAATTCATTAATGTTTATCAATATTATATTAAATATATTTTATTTTTATCAAAAAAAATTTATGATAAATACTTCTTTTATGAGATAAAAAACTTTCTTTATATTTTTAAACCCATCATCGTTTTTGTTTAAATCAACTTAATGATAAAATGATCCATTTTGATGTAATTAATTATAAAAAATATATATTTTAAAAAATTTAATTATATGAATAAAATATTTTTTATTTAAAATATAATAATTTAATATATAAATTATAAGGATAGATGTTGATTTAATTTTAAAATAAAAAATATAATTTATTTTTTGTTATTATGTTATTTTTTTAGTGAAAAATTTATTTAAAATGATAATTTATTTTAATCATTAGATTGAAAAATAAGTGAATATTTAATATTTTTTCAAAATGAATGAATCTTTAAATTAATTTATAATATATATATATATATACATATTTCTTATAAAATAATATTATTTTTACTTTTATTTAAAAAATAATTATTATTTTATAAAATAGATTATCTCATATACTTGTAAACATTTTAATCTAAACTCACATAGATCATAATCTTAATACGTCGAAAAAGACAAATTTAATTTAACTTAGGGACACTTTTTTTTAAGATCATTCCATTAAAACACAACAAGTTAAATATTTTTTAAAGATAAAAACAATTTAGAGTGTTATGAATTTAATATTTTAATATATTTTTAATTGAATAAATTTTCTTATAAATAAATATACTTTATTAAATATGTTTAACTTTTAATATAGTTGAAAAAAAAAATGAGGGACAACACTTAAAAAATATATATAAAAGGTTTATATTTTATTATATTATAATTTTATATAAGGTAAATGTTTGAGATTTAGTTTTGTTTTAGGTTAATGTTACTTGCAAATGTGTGGTGTATGAATCTTCATTAAATAATTTTGAGACCTCACTTTGCTTATAAAATGTTTGTTAAAATGACAAAATAAAATATTGTTAAATAGATGTTAGTTGAAATCGTCTTTTTTATACTTAACAATCTGGTTGTATTTTAGAAAATAGTTTTCTTATTTGAATATATATATATATATATATATATATATATATATATTTTTTTTTTTTGAAAACTTTTGAGTAATATAATATAGAATGAGTTAGGTTATGAGTGTGAAATTGTTCAAATTCATTGTACCGTAACGCACTTTAAAAACTTACTTTCATGTGAAATTGAAGTCTGGCATTTAAAATGATTCAATGCTTCAACGTAGATAAGACAGAAGAATCATTAATGTAAAGTTAAGTAGAGTTTATGGACATTAAAGATCCTACATACATATAATCACTTAAAACTTAAAAGAATAAAAAAATAAGTTGAAATTTATGTCTTTTATTCCTTGAAATCATTATCCATGAGATCCTAATGATAGCTAGGGTATTGTGTAATTAGAAAATAGTTAAATTGATGGATGATAGAGGTTAAATATGAATAAAAAATATAAAAAGAAAGAAAGAAAATTGATTAAGCATAAATTAAAATGTGTTAAGAGGTGATGAAGTTGAAGTATGGGATCTAAAATTGGAATGGTAAATGACATAGTTTTGTAAGTGTGAAGAATATTGGAGAAGGACACGACACAATTTTAGCATTCCAACCATGATGGAGGTCAAACTTATGTCAATGACTATTTGCAGGCTCACATGGACAAGGAAACAAAAGTAACAAATCTAAAAATAGAAAATTAACATTTAATTTCAAATATTTGTATCCATAAATCAAATTAATTATTCTCCAATTAGATCATCCTATAAAGATTACAAGATCTCATGCAATCAAATAGAATCTATTAGGTCTGAATGAACAAGCCTCTTTCTGTAATTTTAATGTATAAAATTACTACACATTTTGATGGTTTAAATTGATTGTTCACAGTGTATTATCTGTGTTATAACATTGAATCATGTCAGGAGTAAATGTAAGACTTCAATTCACTTGAAAACTCAGCAAGTGTTGAATGCAACCAGATTCATTACAGTACAATACATTCAAAACCAAAATGTATATCTGATATACAATTCTAAACACAAACTAAAATTAATACAAGTTTGATAAAATTGTCTTCAATAAAAATATATTCATATTATTATTTTTTAACTGATTTTATCTAATTAAAAATATTTTTATTTAAAACTGAAATAAATTCATTAAAATTAAATTAATGATAAATGCATAGTATAGATGAATGAATTTGAAGAATTGGATTCAAAGTGATTAATTAGATTTCAAGGAAGATTGAATTCATAATGATGCTTATATAAACTAGAAGTAAAATGAGCAAATTAAAAAATTAAAAACAATGTAAAAAGGATGAAGAGAGAAAAGCAGTGGCAATGAATGAAAGGAGGGGTTCAGAATGTTGGATTGCTGACATAATTTGGTAAATGACTTTATTCAGACGATATTACGCGAACTCTGTTACTCTCTCTCTCTCTCTCTCTCTCTCTCTCTCACTTCCTTTGTTCAGAAGAACACATAAATAAAATGACCTAACCCCTCTCATTTATCGTTCTCACTTCACTCCGTAGCTTGCACTCTCTCTCTCTCTCTCTCTCTCTGCTCAATCTATTTCCCAATCTTAAAATTTTCTCTCTCTACCACCCTCCATGGACACAGCCTCCACCCCTCCCCCTCCGCCCACCGCCGTCCCTTTCACCGTCGAACCCAACAATCACGTCTCGTCCCCGAACCCTAACCCCAAGCACCCGCCATATGAAGAGGTACATAACATGTTATTATTATTATTGATTTATTTGGTGAATTTCATACACATTAACACGTGATTCACTACTGTGTCATGTTGTGTTAGATGATATACACGGCGATTGGGGCTCTGAAGGAGAAAGATGGGTCGAGCAAGCGCGCCATAGGAAAGTACATAGAGCAAGTGTACAAGGACCTTCCATCCACTCACTCTGCACTTTTGACTCACCACCTCAACCGTTTGAGATCAGTTAACCTTCTCGTCATGGTAAAAAAATCCTACAAGCTTCCTGGATCTGATCCTCTTCCTGCATCCCCTCCCTCTCAAGCCCAAAAGAGCCGTGGAAGGCCTCCCAAGCCCAAACCCCTGCCCACCACCGAGCCTGTCTGGGCTTCACTCGGCTTATCGGATGACCCTGCCGCCCTATCCGCCGGAGACACTGCCTCTCAATCGGCCAAAAGAGGTCCGGGTCGTCCCAAAAAGATCGTGGCTGTGAGCTCGGGCCTGCCAGTCCCGGTTCGAAGAGGCCGCCCACCTGGTTCCGTCGGGATTGCTAAGTTGGCCAAGAGGGCTGGACGTCCCCCAAAGCCCAGATCCGTGTCAGCTATCTCCAGTGGGCTCAAACGACGGGGCCGTCCGCCTAAAGCTCAATCCAACCTCGCCATCATCCCCTTTGCGGCCCCGGTTGGTCCTGACCAGCCCTCGGTGCAGCCCATCATTCCTGCTGCTTCTGTGCCCAATGGGTCTCCCAGGCCCAGAGGGCGCCCCAGAAAGATTGTTACTACTGGTGGTGCTCCACCTCTCTCAGCCCGTGGCCGGGGACGGCCACGTGGGGTCTTGCCTTTGATTAGGGCGGGTCGCCTCCAGAAACTCGCCGTTGGAAGGGCCAAGAATCCTGCAAGGAGGCCCGTGGGCCGCCCAAAGGTAATAATAATACATCAGGTCTAGAAGTTCTGATTTTTTTAATTCCATCTCTCTTTTTTTCTCTGATCATTTCAAGACAAGCATAAATGCGTTTATGCTTATTTATAGTTAATGTTTTATTTTGGAGTATTTGATACTTTAAGTACTAACTAGATTCAAGATTGAATGTCTAAATTAAACCTTATCATGATTCATAACTGACTTTTTGAAATAATTATTTTCTTTCACAATTGCTTGCCAAGGAAAATGTAGAGGAAAAAAGTGTTTGTTAGTGTATGATTTTCTCGACAATTTCTAGTCTCACCCCCGGACCATTTGAATAACAAAAATGTTTTTTTTTTTTTTTTGTAACTCTAGAGGATTATTTTTGTTGTCTCATTTTGGAAGTGTTGTTTGGGATGTCCTTGTACGGGAAAGATAAGAATACTTAAACAAGCATAGAGTATCAGATGTGAACATTTTTGTCTTGTATTGTGTTCTTCTAAACTTGTTCTTTAAGTGTTCTGTACGGTTTCGATGTTGTTTGTTTTAATTAGCATTGCCGTATTGAAAGATAATTTTGCCTTCACAAGAATCATATGTTTTTGAACTGAAAATTTGAAGCTTTCTTTTACTTTCATCAGAATTGCCTTCTGCAGTAGATGGCGTATGTGCATGTTACTTTACTGAGTATTTATTTTAGATTTTGATGAAGTTAATTTTGAACTTTTGGACATGATTGAGACGTGTACTTAATTTATCTCATTCATAGATTTTACATTTAAATGTAAGTTGTACTGTTGTAGTTGATTTTGATCTTAAATCAAAGTTACCTACTAATGTTATGTGTAAAAATTGATTTGATTTCATTTTTCAAACAAAATTAGTTATTCTAGAAAATTTATAAAATGTTACTTCCCGACATGTAATTATATGAATAAATTCTTTTAACGGTAAATTTTCTAAAATACTAGTCAAATAATCCACCCTTTGTGGAATTAATATAACATTGCAGCATCATTCTTCACTCTTATTTCTTTGTTATGTTTGGGGCATTATTTAGTTTGATTGAAGAATGTTATGTAATATAGAAAATAGGCACAGCTATGATTGAAGAATATATTTGTGATTTTTAAGTATCTTCAACAATTACCTTTACCTGATAGTGGAAATTGCTCTCTCTTGCATATTGAGTTGCTTCATTACTTGTGAAACAGGGATCGACGGCTGCTGCAATAACTGCACAAAAGGCTGATAATGAAGATCTGAGGAAGAAGCTTGAACACTTTGTGAGTTGAAATGGTCTTTCATTTGAATGTGTTTATCATATTTCATAGGTATTATATTTCATGCCTCCATTGTTTAATTTACAGCAAACCAAAGTGAAGGAGTCTCTTGGCACGCTTAAGCCCTACTTCAACCATGAAAGCCCAGTCACTGCAATTGCAGCAATTCAAGAGCTAGAAGTGCTTTCAACTTTGGACCTTAAAGCACCATTGAGAGATGAGACTCAGCAACAGCCAGAACCACTTCCGCAGACACAGGTGTATGAACAGCAATATCCCCCCCAGGTGTCGCAACAGCCACTGCTGCAGCAATTTTTTCAACAACATTCATGAGCCCAAAAGTGGGCCTGAATTTGTTGGAGAACAACTTGTACAAGTGTTTTAACTAGGCACAAGAGGTAAAAGACCTGTAAAGCGTGTAGGAAGTTCTGAGAGTGGAGAATGACTGTCCATTTTAGTTTGTTGTTGTGCACCTTTAGTTTGACCCCTGAGGTATAACTAGTAGCGAGTACTCATGATTCTGTTATTTCAGTATATTTAATTGACTTTTACTGTTTAATTTACTCACATTAATGTGTGTGTTGATTCCTTTGAGTTTTTCATTCTCGCTTACCTATGTTTATTAGTAGTGACTGCTTAAGAGCTTGCTTGCTTTTTCTCGTTGTTGAGTGGTTGTGTTGTGTGAACTTTTCTTAGTTATGGTTGCCCCTTAACACTGTATATAGAATGGAGGAGTTTTTTCCCCAAGTGTTTAGTTTCTCCTTTTCTTCAGTATAGTATTTTCCAATTGTTACGTGGCTTCAGCAATTTATGTTTAGTCAGTATTCGATTAGTGGGTTTAAGGGGTAAATGAGTGGATTATAGTATGAAATGTTATCATTAAAAGCTCTAAGCAGAGCCCTCAACGTGCTTTTGAGGGTACAATGCATCCTGTTTTTAAAGTGTAATAGAATGTAATGCTCTGATTCCCTGCCTCTGAAAAAGCTAATTTCACTTAAAGGAATATAAATTTTAAAAAACTTAAAAATGCCACTATTGTGTTCTTTACAGGCAGATTTTAATGAGCTTCCTCAACAATCTGTATCTTTACTGTCATTCTTCTTTAAATTTCTCTTTCTGAAAATTTTCAACTTCCAAAGATAGTTTGCACACTTGTCACATATCCAGAAGGAAACAATAATCAAAATGGCCAGAGATTTCATGTGAAAACTGAAAAAGAACGTCATACACAAAATTCAATAACCTATTTTTCCTAGGGAGCAAACTCTCTTCAATCAAGGACGCAACCAGGTCTATTAATTACACTATCACCTGTCACAATCCAAAACTTTTTTCCCTCTCTCACCACAATCCCCGTCAATATTTAGTTGAAGCCAATCAAAGAAAGTACCTATCAAGCCATGTCTACTGAACTTTTTCATTTCTACTAAATACATCACAAACAAAAATTTAAAAGGTCATTTTTGTGATTACATTATGGTTGGGAGGTGTGGGGCAAAAAAAAATTGGGATGCATAGAATAACTTAATGGCTGAAGCCCACTTTAGCCAACCCACATATTTCAGGCATGTGTTAATCAACTTCTAAAAGTTTATTTATGCTCATGCATTTTTCTTTCTTTTAATTCAAACATACTTGTACATTAAGGTCGTAATCTCGTACCGAAGCCAGATGGTTTTAATTTTTTGTTTTATTATGTAGTTGTCACAAAACAAGCAAATACTTTGATATCTTATTTTGCTTTGGAAAGTACATATGATTTGGTTTTGGCAAGAAATATTTAAATATACAGAAATAAATAAATAGGTTCAGAAAGAACAAATAAATAAAAATTCAATTAGTATTTCGGATAATAGAATATAAATAACAACTATAACTATTTTTTAAGTTAGATAATATAATTGATATAATAAAAAAATTTGATTATATAATATCTATTATACCTCTCGTGATAACATAATTTCTACGAGAGTTTAATCAATTATTATTATTTTCAAAAGAAGTTTTCATTCTATTTTTTTTATTAACGTGTAAGAATTGAAAACTAAAAAGAGTAAAATCATTTAAAAGACTCACCAAACAAACTATCAATGTGAATTTATGAGAATATGCATTTAAAAAATAATAACATTTTGTAATAAAAATTGAAAAATAAATTAGAAAAACTGAAGTAAAAGTAGATTTAAAATGATACATATAAAAAAAATAAATAGAAAATTAGTTCACTCACCAACATGACATGTGAAGAAAATTGAGTTAAAGACAAAGAAGACCCCGTACAGAATAAATGGATGTCATTATCCTGTCTCTTGCTTGTCTAATTCCCGCCCTTTTTGTATTTATTATCATATCATTGCTTCTCCTTTTCATTAATCTTCTTTGCACTATGAAAACTGTGACTCATGTCACAACATGGTCTTGGTCTTGTAAGCTGTGAATAATTAAATCTTATGTCAATACTTCAACTCTCCCTTATTTTTTTTAGTAATTATATTAATTAAATATCCGTTGATTTTAAAAATAACAAAGTTGAAAGTCAAATAACAAAGTTAAAATAATAAGTAAATTATTACATAGCTAAAAACAACTTATTTCTATATCATCAATCACATGTTCAAACTTTTTTTTTTAATGATGTACTATTTTGAACTACCTATATAGATAAACAAATATTAGCAGGTTGTGATTATTTGTTCCTAAATGGAAGGGATTCTTTTTTATCTTTTTAATTTGTAATTTAGATTAAAAGTTTATTTTTTTAATATTGACTATTAATTTTTTTAATTAGGGCATAGATAAATTCATATTCATGAAATATAGAAGGTTAAAGTGGTATTAATGATGTCTAAACTTGATAGGTCAAAGAGGTATGATTTTGAAAAAGTTCCTATTGATATAAGTTAAAAGTTAGTTTAGTTATGGTTAAAAGAATTACTAATATAAGTTGAAAGTAGGGATGATAATAAAACTTATACATTTACTATTACTTGTCTCTATTTCTAGTTTGATGAAAAAAATTGAGTTGACCGTGAGTAAGTTTAAATTTTTCTCCTTTCAAAAAGTCGGAACGTCCCCACTCAAAAAACGAGAAAAACTGATTTGACTGAAAGTGGATTTGAGTTTTTCCCGTTTTAACAAGTCAGAATGGAGTGCAGTGATGAGTAATGTAATCTTCACTCCTGCCCTATCCGAATTCTGTCCTCGTCCATATCCCAACTTTGTATTTAAATTTAAATTTAAAACTATTAATAATTTAAAAATATTTTTTTTATTTTTTTATTATATATAAGATATTTTTTTTATATTTTATCATTTTTACTTTTTTTTACCCATTTTTTCGTTCTTTTATCTTTTTTTTAATCTTTTATATCAATTACTTCTTCGTTACATTATTTTTTTCTTTTATCTTTCACTTATTTATAATTTTTTAACATCTTCAATCAAATTTTTTTCAATCTTTTCAATAAATTTAAAAAACATAAAGTTAATTTTTTTTAATTTTTTAAAATATTTTACATAAATATTAACAATAACTAATATTATTTATTTATAATTTATTTTTATTAAATTTTATTATGTCATATTTTTTTATCAATAATTCTTATTTGTCATTTATTAAAATTTATCTTAATAAAATAATTATATTTTAAAAGATTAAAAAGAATTGATAATTAAAACTTTTATTATTTTAAACTAATTAAAAAAATTAATTTATTAAATAATTTTTTATAAATTATATATTTTATATTTTTAAAGAATAATTTAAACAAAATTAACTTATATAATCAAATGTTTAAATATAATATAATAATAATAATATTATTATTATTATAAATATTTTATATCCGTATAAAAAAATAATTAAGTATAATATATATATATATATATATATATTAATATAATAAATTAAAAAATATATTTAATTAATAATAATTATAAATTATATAATTATAAATATTTATTTATGTATAAAAGTATATAAAAAATATTAAAATTAATTTATTATAAGTATAATTATTTTAAAAAATAATATAAGAATAAAACAATAATAATGATAGAGAAATTCAAAATCTAATGAGAATGAGAAGAGTTAATTTCTAAGTCTGACTTAGATTAAAAACAAAGACGGAGACGGATAAAAAAAAAAAAGTCAAAAAACGACAAATGGAAAAACAAAACCCGCCTTGTTCCGCTAGCGAATTGAAAGATACATATATCAATTAAAAACTAATTTTCTTAATTTATACAAACTGTTAGATTTATGGTTTCTTTCTGAAATGTGGTCAAATTTGAGTTCTTAATATTATAAAATAATTAAATTTAATTTGATTAAAAAAACTTGATTTTTGAAATAATAGTGTAATATAGATGGAGGATGAGAAGTGCCCTAATATTCGTGTAAATTAGGGCACACCGCGTGGAAAAGAAAAGGCTCTCCCACTTGTGCATTGTTGTTTTCCTGTCCCCATCACCCACTTTTCTCTTTCATTTTAGTTTTCAATGTTTCTAAGGTTTTGCACATTGAATTTTGTTTTTTTATCAAATTTAACATCAATCATGAAAAATTAATTAAAAATAATTTAATATTCGACCTTTATAAATTTTGTAAATTTGTGAAGGTCTTGTTTAGTTAAGAGAGATAAACACAAAGGATTTATCACAATTTTAATAGTTGATTTTGTAGTTACTTTCACAATGTAAATTTTATTCTATAATGCACCATTTACTTCATAAGGATTGTGTCTTTTTATTTAAATATTGTTTTAAAACATATATACAATTTAGAAAATGATATTTTATTTTTTCTCTTGTGATTTATCAATATATTCTATTTTTATTTTGGATGCATTCCACATGCAACCTTGTAATCAGTAATATATTTTTCTTTATATTGGGTCTAGAAATTATTTTTCAACATTTTTTTAAGAATTAATCATTAGTTTAAAATAGTCTAATATCACAGTTTCAGTTGTTAGTTATATATTTCAAAATAATATTTATACAAATTGATTCAAAATATGAAATTAGTACCAAACTTTTCATAACATGAATTTTGTAACAATAACTTTGCGTCGTACAAATATTTGCTAAAAAAGTTAAATAGTTTTTTAGAAAATAAGTATTTAATATAATAAATGTTTATATTTTCATTTAATTTTTAAAAAATATAAACGCCCGTTATCATTTACTCACAGGTCACTGTCCTTCATGGGCAACGACTTTGGGGCATGCATCAAAGAAAATTGTGGCCAAGAAAATTAGTGGTCAATAATAAAACAGCAATATATATTGTTAGTAAGAGCTTACATCACTTTTTTTTCTCTAATGTATTTATTTATAATAAATGGATTCAATTGAATAAAAGAAAAAGTGAAAATCAAATAAATTAAAAGTGATTTAAATGAATTTTATTTAATTCAATTCAATTTCAGATATAACTAAATTAATTTTTTTAGAGTAAATGAAACTTATATACATTGTTTTATTTCCAAAGCCAATGTATAAGCAGACACATATAAAATTACTACATAAAATCACTTTCTTTTTATAATTTTGCTTGTCTTAATTAATTATGTATCATTTGGAGGTAGTTCTTTTATTTGTAGATTTAGCTTATTTTTGATACATTAATCATATTATAAATGTGTTTGGGAATAATAAAAAGTACATGAATTTTTAATCCAAAAGATTGGCTAAAGTCAATAATCAGGAAAAAGAATGAGAGGATTTAATATTTAGCAGTTTGTTAGATATTAAAAAAAAGTAAAGGCTGATTTAGCTAGGGCATCCACTGCTTTATCACCATTTCATGCTGTGAAAGAAACATGAAAACTGAGAATTTGAGGAAGTAAAAATGACAAAGGAGGTTAAATTTAGAAGGAAATGTTATACAGAAAGGTTTCTGGTGAAAAAAGGTCTATATTTAATAGTTTAACACATTTCAAATATGATTTACTTATAAAGAAAGATAGATTCTATTTTTTGTTTTTGATTGGAGGAAAGGAACAAATTTTAAAAAAGAAAAGAAAAATGGTATTGTGGAAAAGTATTAATGGTGGTGGGAAATAGGTAAAGGTGAAATACAGTACGAAGTCTAGTAGACTCTCCACCATAAGATTGATGAGAATGGTGGGGTGGAATTATTTAAGGTATAAATTTGTGAAGGAAGCACTAGGAGTGTAGCAGAGAGTAGATTTAGTTGGAAAAGGAAAAAAGAAAGGGGTAATAATGGGTACCGTTATCCGCGAGTAGCATAGAAGTGAACTGAATTGAATAGAGAGCATTGAAAAGGTAGGAGCAGAGTGCGGGCTACTCAAGTAGTAGAGATGAGATGAGGGTGCACATGAAAGTGAGTTTTTTTTTTCCACTTCCACTTCAATGAAATGCCCTTTGTCCTATACTTGCATATCACAAAGGACAAAGATTGGGTTTGCTTGAAATAGCAAAAGTTGAAGGCTCAAAGCAACCATATTTTTTCCAACTAGTTCATTCTCTATGCCAATTCGGAGCAGTTCACCACAAGCACCCAACTCATGCCACCAGCACCACTTTCTTTTGGGACTCCACAAAAACATATCGAGATAAGGAGGAGGAAGAAGAAGAAAGAGAAAGCAAGTTGGTTTTGTGTGTGTGTGTGCGTGTTTGTTTCCCAGTCCCACCACCAAGTTTCCCTTTAATTTTCTCTCTGGGACTGTGAAGTACTTGTGACCCTCTATCTTCTCAAGTGGGTCATGCTTTGTGGCCCCTACCTTCTCCCACTTGCTCCTAGTCTCTGCTGTCTTAGCCTCTGCCCTTTAATGTTGTCTTCACAACTCTCTTGTCTCTTCCATTTTTGTGCTCTTATTCCTTCCACAAACAGAAACAAAGATCCATTCTTTCTCCATATGGGGGTTCAGTGATTTTGGTTTCCCTGCTTCCTAAAGGTGGTGAATGGTATCAAACATCTGTTTGTGTTTCTTTTGGAATATTTCAGTCTTGTCTGCTGAATAGGAGACTGCTCCAGTTCAATTCAACCATCCGGATCGCCTTCACTTGAAAACGTGCAAAGCCTGATACTTGGAACTGTTGTTTGGAATTTGATTGTCTTGCTTTGTTGGTTCAGGAGCTGTTTGCCAAAAAGGGTTTCTTTGAATAGTTTTCTAGATACCAAAGACCATACTTTGAGAGCCTAAGAGAGATTCATGCTTGGTCAAAGAACAAAATGGAGAGGTTTCCACTTCTTTAGCATTCAGTACTCTAGAGAATAGATATGAAGAACATTCTTAAGAAGCTTCATATCATGTCTAACCAATCGGATGATGCACAGGGGGCTACTTCATCAAAGGGCACCAGGTCCAGTGATGGTTCATCTTCATCCACTGCCCCTAAGAAGCTTTCGAATTGGTTGCATTCAGTTTCAAATAGGCAGAGTCCCAGTCCTCCATCCCCCAACCTGGCCAGGGGAGAAAGAATGGACCCATCTGATTCAGTGAGCAGTGGTGGGTTGGATGTTGTGTCTGATTCAGCGAAGCGTGACTCGGAGTCTAGCACGTCTAGGGATCCTGAAGTGGAGGAGGAATATCAGATACAACTGGCTTTGGAGCTGAGTGCAAAAGAGGATCCCGAGGCTGTACAGATTGAAGCTGTTAAACAGATCAGTTTGGGATCTTGTGACCCTGATAATACACCAGCTGAAGTTGTGGCCTACCGGTACTGGGTAAGTCACTTTGTTAGTCCATTGACTTAAAGGTTGATGTTACATTCTTCTGGTTATACTTATGAGGGTGCCACAAAAGTATCATCTATTACGAACAGAGATATGCAAGGGTTAAAGAATTTCCGATGCAGAGATGGTACTTCATTTTCATAATACGTGTAAAGCCTGGAGAAGAAGGGTGGGGGATTTTGAAAGCAAAGGATCTCTGACTGTTTATATTGCATTTGACCTCACTTTTTTTTTTCTTATCTGTGTGAAATGACACAGATAGCTACTCATGATTGTTGGAAGAACTTTGCCATTATTAAATATATCAATAGCATTCTGAACAGTGCTGTAGGGCTGGAACTTCCAATATCAATCAGCATATTTGCCCTTAGAAGTTGGAGTTTCATAATGGCTACGATTTCTGCCATATCATATATATTGAAAAAGGATACTGAAATTGTGCATGAAATGCATTAACAACTTTCAATTTTGGACTTATATGACATACTTGCAGGACACCAAATGATTTATAATCGTAAAATTTTTATGACATCTTGGTATGAGATAGGGGAAAGTAGAGTTAATGATGCTGATGCATGAACTGATGAAAGCTAACTTCTTTCTTTATGTCACTTAATTACTTCACTGTAGTATGTCCTACATTATATTCCTTTCTGACTTATCTCATATCGTAGATTTATCCGTGCTTCACAGAATTACAATGCTCTTGGTTATGATGACAAGATCACAGATGGTTTCTATGATCTGTATGGGATTTTGACTGAGTCAACCTCTGCAAGAATGCCTTCTCTTGTAGATCTGCAAGGAACACCAACCTCAGATGATGTCACATGGGAAGCAGTCTTGGTCAATAGGGCTGCTGACTCCAATTTGTTGAAACTTGAACAAGAAGCCATGAAGATGGCTGCCAATTCAGGAAAAGATTTTGAAGTAGTTGTAAATAGTAATTTGGTACACAAGCTTGCAATAATGGTGTCTGACTATATGGGTGGATCAGTTGATGATCCTGAAAGCATGTCTAGAGCATGGAGGAGTCTTAGTTACAGTCTGAAAGCAACCCTTGGTAGCATGGTTTTGCCACTTGGTTCACTGACCATTGGATTGGCTCGGCATCGCTCATTGTTATTCAAGGTACTTTTCCCAATATTCTTCTTTCTGGTTTACATTTCAATGAAGAATGGTCTGGCTGAGTAAGTCTGTAGTAACATTAATTATGGTTAGATTTCAATCCAAACGATGCTATTTTAATGAGCAGTTAGGACCGCCATTTGATATGAGATTTTTGTTATGCTCCTCCAAAAACTTACATGGATTCATCTAATAAAATTATATTTATCTGTATTAAATGTAGGTTTTAGCTGACAGTCTGGGCATTCCGTGTCGGTTGGTGAAAGGACTGCAGTATATGGGTTCTGATGATGTGGCAATGAACTTTGTCAAGATTGATGATGGAAGGTACTGTTAAAATTGTATTTTGTGGTATAGGCAAGTGAGCAGCATTATTTGTTTATATATAGTTCTCTGAAGTAGGACTACTTACATCTATGTACTCCTCTCTGGACTCTAATGATTCATGGAGATTGAAACAAAATTTCTATACTCATATATATCAATAGTTTTACCTGTTCTCCAAAGCTAAGTTTCTGTAGAACACGCATGAAATCTGGTTAATTAATGCATTTACTAGTGTCTTTTGTTTATGTCAGGTTTTCAATCAATCGTTTAATATTGCCTAGAGCTGAATGCTATCTCATTCTTTTTGTAACTTCCTAAAGTAGAAGTCGCAAAGCCTTGTTATTTGTATCTATAAGTTATGACTGATGTGAATTTCAGGGAGTACATTGTCGACCTAATGGCAGCTCCTGGAGCACTTATTCCATCTGATGCTACTGGATCACACATTGAGTGCGATGAATCTTCTTTTGTAGCCAGTCCTTCATCAAGAGAACTGGATTCATCTAATGTAGCATCATTCAGTAGTGGGGTTGGAAGTTCATCTGAAGAAGTTTCAGACTGTGGAGGGAAAGAATCCGATGTGAGTGGGCTAGCTACAACCAAGGAAGATTTAAAGAAACCATCAACTGAACCCAAAAATACGCCCTATGCAGAGAAGACCAGAGTGAAGGAATCTGCCAACAGACCTAACTATCCATATATGCATGGAAGATCTCCTTCTTGGACTGAAGGGATCAGTTCCCCTGCAGCCCGTAGAATGAAAGTAAAAGATGTTTCCCAATATATGATTGATGCTGCTAAGGAGAACCCTAACTTGGCTCAAAAACTTCATGATGTTTTACTTGAAAGTGGTGTTGTTGCACCTCCTAATTTATTTTCTGAAATGTATCATGGGCAGTTAGGTACTTCAACTGGGACCAATTTTTCAACTGAACCAAAAGATGAAAATAGACATGCAAATGTGCAGCAAGAAAATAGACAGGCTGATGACATCCTAGTTCCTGCTCGATTTTTGCCTCCTTTGCCTTACTATAAAATTCTTCGCAAAGCCACTCCTGGCAGTCAGCTGGATTCTAGGCCTGTGGATGGCTTAGGAATTGGTCTTCCTCTTGATACGGGGGAAACTGCTGCACAGAACATAACATCTCAGGCAGAAGCAGCTCGGGTAAAGTATGGGAAAAATGTCCCAGTGGCAGCAGCTGCAGCCGCAGCTGCAGCAGTTGTTGCATCTTCTATGGTAGCTGCTGTGACGAAATCAAGCACTGACTCAAATCTTGAGTTTCCTGTAGCAGCAGCTGCTACTGCTACTGCCGCAGCAGTTGTAGCAACCACTGCTGCTGTCAGTAAGTATGAGCAGGGCAGTCGAAGTGATGGGGATACAGAGGGTGGTGGTTATGAGTCAAAGGGTAGTGGTGATGGAGAGCCTACTGCCTTAGGAGAAAACTTAGAAGGTGAGAGAAAATCTGATAGATCAGTAAGCAATGACAGCACGAAATCTGATTCTGCACTGGATGATGTTGCTGAGTATGATATTCCATGGGAAGAAATCACAATGGGAGATCGTATCGGACTAGGTATTACTTTTGCATTGTTCTATATTTCTCGAATATTTTTCTGTTTGACCGTGCTACTGTGTAGTGGAGCACTTTTTTGTTGTCCGTGTTCCATAGAAAAACTCAAACTGCAACTGTGTAGCTTGTATTTGACATGCAGGATCATATGGGGAAGTTTACCGAGGTGAATGGCATGGAACTGTGAGTATATCATACCATCATGAACCTTATCAATTGTATTATTTAGCATACTACATTTGTTGTTCATCTTTCTTTTATTATTCATTTAGTAATTTTTGTTTGCGATGAAATGCGAACTTTTTAAGTCTTCACTACTTCAATTGCACCTTTGTATATGCAAATACAACACTTTATAAAATGTATTACCCACCTCATTTATGTTATCACTTGTCAATATGAGAAGAGACTTACTCTTCATCCTCACTAATTATTTTCTGGTAATCTAACAGTTAAGAAAAGTTATTATTTTAGGCCATTAGATTATTAAAAAATGAATGGTGAAGATGGAAAGTAAATCTCTAATTCTTAAGAGTAAGTGGATTACTTCACTCTCTCTCTCTCTCTCTCTCTCTCTCTCTCTCTCTCTCTCTATATATATATATATATATATATATATATATGTATGTATGTATGTATGTCTGAGGTTTCCTATTATATTGTAGATTATATTTTATATATACACACACATATTTACAGAATGTTCCTCTCTTTTCTTTATAGGAAGTTGCTGTAAAAAAGTTTCTATATCGAGATATTTCTGGTGAATTACTTGAAGAGTTCAAAAGTGAGGTAAGGCCATCGCTACTACCCTATGGTTTTCTTCTTTTTCTATTTCTACTTATTTTTGATCCAGTTGATTATGATTCCATTGAGGGTAAAGATTATAGCTAGGTCTGATCAAGCCATAAGATCAATAGAGGCTTAATAGTTTTAGTGGGAAAAGTGCATCAAAGCGAAGATAGTTTGATTTAGTTATTTCTTTAATATTTCTAATTTAAGATTTACCTATTCAAAATATTATATGAAGTAATTTTGGTTCAATTCTTCAGGTATTATCTAATATTAGTCGTTTTTGTTGTCCCACCATCTCATTTACATATTCATATGGTTCCCTGTTCAATGATCGAGGTGCTTGTTTAATTTATGTAACTTGCAATAGGTCCAAATCATGAAAAGACTGAGGCATCCAAATGTTGTTCTATTCATGGGAGCAGTAACTAGGCCTCCGAATCTTTCAATTGTTTCTGAATTTCTTCCTAGGTAACTTGAATTTCTTCATTTCCTGAGCTTAATGCGACTGATTATTGTGGATTTGCATTTTTTTAGAAGTTGATGTTTGCTTGCACTACTAGCTTAATCAATTAAATAGACAAAAAGTTGTTACTGTTCTACGAGACAAAAGAGTGATGCTACATCGACTAAAAATACTTTCTAAATTACTTTAGCGAATGATGTGGCATATTCCCTGAGAAGGAGAAAATCCTTATTGGATGGAGAGAGTAGAAACTATTATGATTTTTTTTAGTATAATAGCATTTGGACCTCTCTTATCTATCTTAATAATTCCTTGATTACATATACAAAATTGAAGCACTCTTAAATGCATATAGTGTATCCTTTTCATAAAACTTAGTGATTGTGTTCCATACCATATTCTAATATATGAATGCTGTGAACTGAAACTGTAGGCATGTACTTGCAAATTTACCACTTTCATGTTACTGATTTAAACCCAACTTATACTGAAGTTTGATAGCTTTGTCACTTAAAAATTCCAAAATTATATATAATCATAATCAAGGATGTTTATTTTTTAGTTGATTAATGTCTTTCTGTGTTTGGCTCTTCAAATACTGAGATGTAGATAATCTTTTGCAGAGGGAGTTTGTATAGATTAATTCACCGACCTAACAATCAATTAGATGAGCGAAGGCGGTTGCGGATGGCACTTGATGCTGTAGGATCTTGTTGTCTTTGTGCATGCAGCTTCATTCAGCAAGTTATTGCTTTACAATTAGGGATCTCATGATATAACATTTCTGTCTGTCTTTTGATTATTCAGGCTCGAGGAATGAACTATCTGCACAGCAGTACTCCAGTGATAGTGCATCGTGATTTGAAGTCCCCAAATCTTCTTGTTGACAAAAACTGGGTTGTAAAGGTAACGAATCTTGTGATTTATGTTCCTGATAGTGTTGTGACTTTATTTGTTGATAGGTTATCACTTTCTTGCTGTTGAATAGGTATGTGATTTTGGCTTATCAAGAATGAAGCATAGTACATTCCTTTCTTCCAGATCAACTGCAGGAACAGTAAGCTATCATAGTTTTTTATTTCCTTAGTCCAATAGCTGTCGTAAATTCTGTCCCTTTTATTAAATAATATCATGCTAACACATTTGTTCTAACACAAATTCAGACCCTTGGTATATCCTTTAACTAATAACTACTTTTGAAAAAGGCTACGGATTTTCTACCTTAATGTTTGAACTACTTCTTTCTGTTACCTTTTGGTTCTGTGGTTTTGAAGCTCCTAATTTGGGCATTGTTTAAGACATCCATTTCCTTGCATTATCATTTTTTATCTGCATTGATGAAAGAAAGCCTAGTAGAATTCATTGGAATTGAATATACTTATGTGTATAATATGTTTCAGGCTGAATGGATGGCTCCAGAAGTGTTGAGAAATGAACTTTCAGATGAAAAGTAAGTTCTATTTTCTTGATATTTGTTATTTTGCTTAAGGTTGAAACCCTTCTAAGCTGACCATTCTTCCTGATATGATTTAGAGGGTTTATTTAACATTGCCACAAATGTATGACTAGCACATTGTGAATGCAAATATTTACGTCGATTTTATTATTTTAATAAGTAGACAGGACAAACTGATTCTATTCAGCATATTCTAAATATCAATAGACAAATTTATGAATTTATATTAAGCACATGTTTGATTCAGCTTATTTTGAAGAACTAATCGCTCATGCTTGTTAGCTTTCTGAAAGAGCTTTTGAAAAAGTGATTGTTTGCTACAATTTAACCTATCTCAATCTAGCCAGTTATACCAAACAAGAACTAAATCCATAAGTAATGCTTGGTATTTAAAACGATGGATATATAACTACAGTTCTACATGGAGGATTGTACAATGTTCAGTACAGAAGCTACGATTTTAGGGCTTTAAATTGAGGAAGCATGTATTGGAGGTTGAAGCAATGAATCAGGATATGGTATTGGACAACTTGAGTTCATGACCGGAGATCAAATGTTTCTTTTCTATAATTTGATCATGAGAATTCTCAAGATCGTTAGCATCAGGCTAATGTGGGGGGACATAGAATCATCAGTTAATCTTGGATGCTGGAGCCTGCTCGTAGGAATGAGGAGGAATTGAAAATGAAGAAACTATACGTCATAGATCTCCAATATGGTCCAACTATCATTGTTAGATATATTAATAAGAACATTCATGGACTTGCACCCAACAACTAAAGCATTTGGGAGAGTTGGTTCCTGGTACTAACATCCACATATTTTTCCTAGGAGGATTGTGATAATCCCTTTTTGTTCTCTTTAATTAAAGATTCTTCTTTTATTAACCAAAAAAGAAGCTCGGTTAAATTGCTGAATCCTCTGGAATCTTCAGTTTTAGGGAAAACAAAACAAGGATTTCCATTTCATGTGTACTAGATACTGTTCTATCACTGGTTTCCTTTTCTCAAACAATTTTTTCATTAGCTCAGCCACTTTTTAAAACTCAAGGCTTTTATTATGACAAGTTGCGATTCATTTTCTAGGTGCGACGTTTTCAGCTACGGTGTCATATTATGGGAGCTCTCAACATTGCAGCAACCCTGGGGAGGAATGAATCCAATGCAAGTTGTTGGTGCTGTGGGGTTCCAACATCGCCGTCTTGACATTCCAGATGACGTAGACCCTGCCATTGCAGATATTATCAGACAATGCTGGCAGACGTGAGTGTACTTCCAATCATTTTCTCCTTCTGAACTGCATATCACTCTGAACATTTGTTCTTCTAATTTGGTTTAGGCTGTTTGACGTTCTTCAACTGTATGGATGAATTTCTGAGTTAAGGTTAAATGGTGGAACAGTAGGAGATAATATGATCATATATTTTCTTCATATAGATGCACAACATATGAATGTGATATTTTTTAAAGGGTATAAACATGTTTTCATGGTTATAGATATGAGTTTGCAATAATATATCTCAGTCATTGCATGTAATAAATATATGCCGTGAAAGAATTTTTCTTCTACGTTAGATATATAATATAACTGGATATTCTACTTTTCTGAATTACAGAGATCCAAAGTTGAGGCCCACATTTTCTGAAATCATGGCTGCTCTGAAGCCATTGCAGAGGCCAATTACTGTTTCTCAAGTGCATAGATCAAGTGCTCAGTCATCACGAGTTACTGAATTCCCCGCAGGATAGGAGACAAATATACAACTAACATTTTGTTTTTCATTTTACTGCTAAAAATGTGAGGGCAAGTTGTAGAGTATTTACCGTTTGGGATTGACAAAAGTTATTGGTTTAGCTAACTTACATTCTCATTCAAGGTTTTCACTCCTCTAGTTCCTTCTCCTTCTTTGTTTTTGTCCATTTCCTTGTCTCTTCTGTGTAATCTACAGTGCAGTCAGTGTCAGGTTGTACCATTTGTTTGTACAAAATTCTTTGGAAAATGTTGTAATCTGTGTCTAAATTTTGTTGTTCATAAATAGTTATGGAATATTGAAGCTGTAACTTGGACAGAAGAAATGATTAACGATAATTGACAGTTGGTTGGTTGTGTAATTAGTGACCATGTAAATTGGTTAAATGTACTAAATGTTCTGTGAGCCTTGCAATTCTATCTTGGACTTGCACACTTACAGGTAAAATGTTATTTATTCTAGAGATTGAGCAACAACATAGGCGTTGTATTTCGGTGGAGTTGGTCTCACTATACCCTTTTCCTCTGACGCCATGATTGATCAATTAACCAGTATAGTGTATATTAAGAAAAAAAGAAACTTATTCTAGTCCCTCTATCCAAATGTTTTATACTAAAATGTTGTAAAAATAACACTTTAAAAAGAAACATGTGGTTTAATATTTGATAATAAGGTAATTGTTTTAAAAAATCTATAAACATATTTAATTAAATAGGATATTAGAGTTATATTATTCTCTTTATTTTTATTTGCAGAAGAGTGTGTTAAGAACATTGCATGAAAAAAAAAATATAAATAGATTATAAGCACTGGGAAGAGCGAGTGGAATTCCAACCTTCTACCAGGATGTGACTATGCATGGCATTGGCAGGGAAACTTATCCTTTTCCCCCTTTGAGACAAAGAAAGAAATGTGTCATTTTTATTTTACTAGAAAAGCAGAGAATCAACAATCAATAATTTATACGTAACAGCTAAGGTTTTATATTTTAAGTTATCATTTGTGACATGTGCCACTAAAGGCTAAGATGCACCTTGTAAGGGATAAGGTGGGGTCCACAAGCCCCTAACTGGAGATATTTCTTCTTACCTTTTCTATCTAAACCAACCTTCTTTCATCCTAAAGATGGCTACTTTCTTTGGTTCCCCACCAATTTTCTCCCTCCCTCTTGCCAGACCTCATCACATTTCGTCATCATCACAAATTCCACCACCAACACCTCCACCAAATCCTGCCCCACAATCTCAGCCCCCAACTTCCTCTCGACAGCTAAAGACAACAACTTTGAATGAGGAATCAGTGCAAGTGTCCACTGAAGCTAAGCAACAGAAGCCCATCAAACCAGTCACTTCATCCACTAAGGTTGAATCCACAGATTGGGTGGCCACTTCCTTGACTAGACGGTTTGGGCTAGGAGCTGGTCTGGCATGGGTTGGTTTTCTTGCATTTGGTGTCATCTCAGAACAAATCAAGACTCGCCTTGAAGTGTCTCAGCAAGAGGCAAATACAAGGTCCGTGTTCCAAGTATCTGTAGAAATGTGTGTGAGTTTTTTGTTTCATCCTTAGGAAAGTTCTTCAACCCCTACAGAAATTTATGACATTCAAATATTTTTCTGAAAAAAAAAATCCCTTGAACACCAGACTTATGAATGTTACAAGCTCTCTCACGAAATGTGGCAAAAATCCATCGTTTTGTGGCACCAGTAGGCCTCTTAGGCGATGGTAGAAGTTAGAAAACTTCTTTTGTGAATTCTAATTTGAGGTTCCAGTTAAGGAAGGTTAGAACTCATAGCCATTAAGATGACTTTTCAACATTAATCCTCTTGCACTCGTCAAAATTATATAGTAAAGCTTATATATTAGTTATTTCTTTAGTCATGACTGATGAACCTGTTGTCTTTCATAGGAACGTTGAGAAGGTGGAAGAGGTGGTGCTGCCAAATGGCATAAGGTTCACTATCTTTCACATTCTATTATACACTATATAATTGTATACAGTCATATGCCTCATTTTGTATGCACACAATGTGTTAAATTACAGGTACTATGAGTTGAAAGTTGGTGGTGGCGCTTCTCCAAGGCCAGGTGATCTGGTTGTGATTGATCTTATGGGAAAAGTTGAAAACAATGGAGAAGTGTTTGTGGACACATTTGAGGGGGACACGAAACCATTGGCTCTAGTGATGGGGTCAAGGCCATATAGTAAGGGAGTGTGTGAAGGGATAGAATATGTGCTAAAAACTATGAAGGCAGGAGGCAAGAGGAAGGTAATAGTCCCTCCTCAATTGGGGTTTGGAGAGAATGGTGCTGACTTAGGCACTGGTGTGCAAATTCCTCCACTTGCAACCCTTGAGTACATTGTAGAGGTTGACAAAGTCTCCATTGCTCCTGCTTAATCATTAAATGCAAATTTCCCTCTAGTAAGTCCTAAGCATTCTTCATAATTCCCTAATCCAATAATGCAGGGTGCTCAACTTGTATCATATAAGATTATCCATTTATTTTCTCATTCTTTATCTCTAACTTTTGGAGGCCATGATGAGGCTTTGTTTAACTCTTACTTTCAATGCTAAATTCTAGTTTTTTCTTCACATAATATTAAAATTTATTTGGAAGAATTCAATTGATGACATGGCAGCTGCAATGAAGAATCAAAAGAAATCAATTTTAAAGTAGATAAATCAGAAACTTGCAAGAGATTTGGATTAGGCTGAGCTACAAAGTTTTCTACTACTACATTACTTTTAACCTGAATCTCATGTCAAGGAATGAATGGTCTAAGAGAATGTGGTTTTATTCCAAACAATTGAAAAGAAGTACCTCACACCAGTTTTTAGATATTATACTTAAAATATGAATTCATTACATTAGAAAATAATTCAAGTAAGTTGTAAACAGCCTATTTTTTAAAATATAGCTTTATATATGCATTATTTTTCAAAATTCTAGAATAAAATTTGAAAATGAGTCACTAATGAATGAAGATATTATGGCTGTATTTAAAAGAACAAGTATTTAAAATTATATGATTTTGTAAGAAAATCGCATATTTTTATGTTAAAAAACTATTATTTATAGTACTTTTCTAATTTCTTTCATAAAAAATAGTACTTAATGCATCACAAGTAAATGCTTGTCATTAACAGAAATTACAAGTCACACAAGCACTTGAGTTTTTAAGAAAGAAACTTAAAAAAACAGGTGTTGGTTTTTCTACTTCAAGGATAAAATCAAAGATGCATGGACTATATAAAATAATTTCATTCCCTAAAAAAAAAAACTAACCAAGCCAACGACAATGGGCTTAATTTTAAAATACTTTAATTAAACTGTTTTTCTAATGTTAATTTGGGATCTGCAGAAATAAATAATAATAAGAAACTATAGAGTGAAGAAAGATATATTATTTTTGAAAAAAATAAATTAGGTGGTGTTATTAACATAAAAAATAATTCCCCTTGAGTATTTTTTAAGATTTCTTTTTAAGTTAATTTTTTTATAACACAAAATAAAATAAAATAAAAAGTATTTTTATTTTTAGAGAAAATAATAAACCAAAAATTTAAAATATTTTAGCTAAATTAATTTAAATAAATTATACACAGATCTTATTTTATATAGTTTTTTATTTGAACAATAACATATATCAATAATATTAAATTATTTTATATAATCATTTAATTACATATTACCACCTATATATATATATATATTATATTATGTTTGTTAACTTTTATTCTAATTTTAAAAAAATTTACATTATCAGCAAATTAAAAAATCAACCCATGTACTTTTCCTCTCTTGTCAAAGTATTACTTTTTAAATTACTATTTTTTGTTTAATAAGACTGTAAAAGTTTTTATCCGTATAGTCATTCATTAAATCTATTTATTTTAATATTCACGTAAAAGAAAGTTGAAAAAATAAAATTCTAAACATAATATTTTATTTTCATCTTTGTTTTTGTGTTTTAATCTTGCTTTGTATTGTGCTCTAACCCTATTTTGAACCCATAACAGAACACGTTTCACAGCACTCAGCTTAGGCCTGTTTAGTAAACAAAACCCTTAATTCTTCTTCACCAATCTTAATTCCCGCATCCCATTCCAAATCTCATTCAATCTTTCTCTTCTCCCTATTCTCTTCGTTCGCGTCGCAAATCGGTAAGCGAGCCATTTTGGTTTTCTTTTTCTGCGCCCGCATTTCTCTGTTTCTGAATACTTGTTTCGATTTCTCTGCTCCATTTTTAGATTTATTTCATTTCCTACTGTGCATGAGTGAAACAAGGGGCACCCATATCCTGTATATCTGTGTCTCTTTGGGTGTCATTGCATCACCCAACGTTGTGAGTTTCTCAAATAATTGGTTTGTTTTGGTTGAGAATCTTGTTATGCTTAATTGACAATTTTAATGTTGAATATTGAGTCATGCGCATGGTTGTTGAATAGCTGTTGTCATCCTGTGCTGTTCTCTTCCGTAAACCTGGGAAGAAACCTCCCCTCCCCACCTTTGTGAGACGATTGTTGTTTGAATAAACATATTTTTTTTATCTGATTGTACGCTATCGGGTTACAGAATTATGATACAGCTACAATTTAATATTATGTTGATTTGCAGATTCTTGACGCTCCTCACAACTTTTGACAAAGGATGGCTTCTAAATTCTGGACCCAGGTTTTTAACACAATCTTAATTATGTTTGATTTATTTCTGCCTTGGATTGAAGAAATTGTGTGATATCAAAGCGTGTTTTATTTACTGAATGGCAGGGTGGAAGTGATTCTGAGGAGGAGGAGAGTGATTATGACGAGGAGGTCGAAGCCACAGTGGGTGATTCTGCCAGTCAAGCCGTGACAAGCAGGTACCTGCAGGATAATGCAAGTGACAGTGATGACTCCGATGGCCAAAAGCGTGTTGTGAGGTCAGCAAAAGACAAGCGTTTTGAGGAGATGGCTTCCACTGTCGACCAGATGAAGAATGCCATGAAGATCAATGACTGGGTGAGCTTGCAGGAGAATTTTGACAAGATTAACAAACAACTTGAGAAAGTCATGCGTATCACTGAGTCGTTGAAGGTCCCCAATCTTTACATAAAGGCACTTGTGATGTTGGACGATTTCTTGGCTCAGGCTTTGGCTAATAAGGATGCCAAGAAGAAAATGAGTAGTAGCAATGCTAAAGCCTTGAACTCAATGAAGCAGAAGCTGAAAAAGAATAATAAGCAGTATGAGGAGTTGATTAATAAGTGCAGGGAGAACCCTGAGAGTGAGGAGGAAAAAGAAGAAGAGGAGAGTGATGAAGATTATGAAAGTGATGATGAGATTATTGAGCCAGAGCAGCTTCGGAAACCAGAAGCAAAATCTGATTCAGAAGCCTCTCAATATGATGATGAAAAGCCAGATGAAGGTCCTTGGGACCAAAAGCTTAGCAAGAAGGACAGACTTTTAGATAGACAGTTCATGAAAAACCCTAATGAGATCACATGGGATACTGTTAACAAGAAGTTTAAAGAGGTTGTGTCTGCTAGGGGAAGGAAGGGAACTGGGAGGTTCGAACAGGTTGAGCAGCTCACTTTCCTAACGAAAGTTGCTAAGACTCCTGCACAGAAGCTGGAAATTCTGTTCAGTGTGGTTTCTGCTCAGTTTGATGTTAATCCGGGTCTCAATGGGTACATGCCCATAAATGTATGGAAAAAATGTGTGCAGAACATGCTGATCATTCTTGATATTTTAGTCCAGTACCCAAACATAGTGGTTGATGATTCTGTAGAACCAGATGAGAATGAAACACAGAAAGGTACTGAACATAATGGACCAATTCGGGTTTGGGGGAACTTAGTTGCTTTCTTAGAAAGAATTGATGTCGAGTTTTTCAAGAGCTTGCAATGCATAGACCCTCATACACGTGACTATGTGGAGAGACTTAGGGATGAACCCTTATTTCTGGTTCTTGCTCAGAATGTCCAGGAATATCTTGAAAGAGTTGGAAATTTCAAAGCCGCTTCTAAGGTGGCCTTGAGGAGGGTGGAGCTCATCTACTACAAACCACAGGAAGTTTATGGTGCTATGAGAAAATTGACTGAGTTGGCAGATGCTGGGGAGAATGGAGGGGAGGCAAGTGAGGAGTCAAAAGGATTTGAGGAACCAAGAATTCCCGCTGCATTTGTTGTTACCCCAGAGGTTGTGCCACGGAAACCCACCTTCCCTGAGTATAACAGAACCCTAATGGATGTATTGGTATCTCTGATATACAAATATGGAGATGAGCGAACTAAAGCACGTGCAATGCTCTGTGATATATATCAGCATGCACTTCTTGATGAGTTTTCAGTTGCCCGTGATCTGCTACTTATGAGCCATTTGCAAGATAGTGTTCAGCATTTAGACATTTCAACACAGATACTTTTTAACAGGGCTATGTCACAGTTAGGCTTATGTGCTTTTCGGGTTGGATTGATTTCTGAAGCACACGGCTGTCTGTCTGAACTCTACTCTGGCGGAAGGGTGAAGGAGTTGCTGGCACAAGGTGTCTCACAAAGTCGTTATCATGAAAAGACTCCAGAACAGGTACTGATCTCCCTTTTTCCATTGATTGATACCGAGGAAATTTATTAGGTGCCGGTCTTAGTTAAGAGTTCAATGCATTTGTTGTTATTACTAAGTTACTAAGGGAGTATTTGGAATATATGTGTATTACATGTATGTTTCCGCCATTATGCTTACCATAATAGTTTCAAAATAGAAAATATCTTAAAATACCTAGACCTCCCCAGTCATTTCTCTCTCACCTTAGTCCCTCGCTACCAAGTACTGGTAAGAGGAGTGTTCACTTTATTTGTTTGGTGAAACTGTGTGGTTTGTTTATACATGCATTGCAATTAACCAGAATATTATATGTTGTTGTTTAACTGCTTACATGTACTGTAATGTAATCATTATCCAAGAGGTAAACACTTGTTATATGAAAAATGATATCATGTGAAGAATCTATAGCCAAAGAACTGAAAGAAATTGAAGTAATGTGGAACTGTGATAATAATTTGGTCAGCATGCTGGTACTCATTTCGTCAAGAGAGGGGGCTAATCTGGCTTTTTGTTAGTTTTCCAATTATCAAGTTGCTTCCAATAGACACTAACTTTTCTTCTTGTGTCTTCTAATATTGTTCTGTGATTGGACAACAATGTCGTCAATTCATTTTAATAGATTCTTCGTTTTAGAATTGTGTAAATTACATTTTTAGGTTGCTGTTAACTCTTTAATTGTCTTTCAGGAAAGGTTGGAAAGAAGACGGCAGATGCCATATCATATGCACATCAATCTTGAGCTCCTGGAGGCCGTCCATCTTGTGTCTGCTATGCTGCTGGAAGTTCCCAACTTGGCAGCCAATGTTCATGATGCCAAACGGAAGGTCATTAGTAAAACTTTCCGTCGCTTGCTTGAGGTAAGCGATAAACAAACATTTACTGGTCCACCAGAAAATGTTCGAGATCATGTTATGGCTGCTACAAGGGTTCTTCGCAAGGGAGACTTCCAGAAGGCTTATGACATTATCGTGTCTCTTGATGTATGGAAATTTGTGAGAAATCGAGACAGTGTGCTTGAAATGCTGAAGGACAAAATCAAAGAGGAGGCATTGAGGACATTCCTCTTTACCTTCTCTTCATCTTACGAATCCTTAGGTCTGGATCAGCTCAACAAAATTTTTGATCTCTCTGTTTCTCGCACTCATAGTATTGTCAGTAGGATGATGATCAATGAGGAGCTTTATGGAAGCTGGGACCAGCCAACTGGGTGCATTCTTTTCCAAGATGTTGAACACTCTAGGCTGCAGGCATTGGCATTCCAGTTGACAGAGAAGTTATCTATTCTTGCCGAGAGTAATGAAAAAGCAACAGAGGTAAGGATAGGTGGTGGTGGATTAGATCTGCCTCTGCGACGGAGAGATGGCCAGGACTATGCCGCTGCTGCTGCAGCTGGTAGTGGAACAACCTCTGCAGGTGGGAGGTGGCAAGACCTGTCCCTTTCTCAGCCAAGACAAGGCAGTGGGCGTACCGGATATGGTGGTGGCGGTGGAAGACCAATGGCATTAGGCCAAGTAGCTGGGAGTGGCTATTCAAGGGGACGAGGAACAGGTGCTTCATATGGAGGTTCAGGTAGGACTTCTCAAAGGGGTTCAGCATTAAGGGGATCCCATGGCGATGTATCTACTCGCATGGTTAGCCTTAAGGGAGCGCGAGCTTGAAGAAGTTTAAAATTATCTTCCGTATACCTCAGTTTTGGTAATTTGAGTAAGGCACTTTAGCATACCAGTTTTCATTTTCGTAGCGTTTTATTTGGTTTCTGATTTTATCTAAATTTGCATTGAAATCAATGCGTATTTGTTTATATATGGATTTTGCTTTCATTTGATAATTTAAGCGTATTTGGTCACCATCACCTGCTCATTTGTGCGAGCTATCATTTTCTTCATTTCCAGAGCGAAATCTTGTCTGCGTATCCACTCATGCAAAGTGCACAAGTGATCATCTGTGCCTTGTTCATGTCATCGTGTACCATCATTATTCCACGCTTAAAAAGCAAGCGTATTCGTTCTTTTACTTATTATATGAAATTTTTATTAAACATTTTTTATATTCTGTTTACATAAATATCTCATTAGAAGTGAATATATTAACTATGATTCTTAGTAAATATATAATCCTTAAAGTGAACAAAATTAAAAATATGCAAAGTATTTCATACACAAGTAACAAAATATTCATTTAACGAAAAATGAATTTAACAGTGTATTAAATACATAATGCTGTAAAAATAAAACAGCATACCACATAGTTTTCTTTATTCTGACGAGCACAATAAAATTCCTATTTCAGAACTACAAATCTAGTAATACTTATTTTTATGAAATTAAAAATATTTAACGTGATATATTCTTCCATATTTATATTCTAAAAGATAATACACACATTTTAAAAATATAATTATTGTTTATGTTAAAATAGTTTTTTTTTCACTGCAATTCTTAATATTACTTCTTTCTTATTTACAATAAAAGTACAATATTTTTAGAATAATAATAAAAAAAATGTACTACCGTAATTGAAAGTAAAAGTTAAAGTTATCTTAACCTTTTGATTTGATTATCCTTTGATACATAAATAATTTTTCTTTTTATTATATAAAAAATGAAAATATTAATATTATCATACTATATATTCATAAATAGAAAATCAATAGCGTTTTTTATAAATAATTTTTGGTATATAATTACAACTGTATTTACAAGATGTCATACCAATTATTCAAAAACTCTACACTACAAAACTAAGTCTAATGAATTATTTACAATGAGTTTATCGTTGGATCTGTTTTATTATAATATTTTTTAAATTATTTTTTTATAATAACTATTTTAAATTATTAATTTTTTTAGAAAATACTATTAAATGAGAATGTATTCATTAGATAAATAAAAATACTTTAAATTAGAAGTTACTAACTTTATAAAACATTTTAAAAAATATAATTGTAATTTAATTTTATTAACTAAAACATTAATAGTGTTTTATCATTTTTAATTGCATATTCCTTGCGGATACTTAATTCCTATAGTATAGAATTTTATTAAATAATACATAACAAGGTTAGGGAAGTTTAATTCTCTACTTAAGTTGGTTCAGTGAAAAAAATAAAAAATTACGAATTTGAATTTTTTAAAAGGTACGAAAATTAAAATATTGATTTTTTATTTCTAGATGTTGTTTTCTTTCTTTTATCTAATTTCTTCTTTCCACCTAAACAAAAAAAAATATATTGTTTATACTCTTTTTTATTCTTTATTTCTTCTTAACTAAATATATCATAAATTACGAATTACACTAAAATAGGTAATGGACTAATTTTCATGTATAAAAAGGTCTTAGATGTGATTAATGTCCTTAATAAAAAGTTGTCTAATTTTAGTTTCTTTTTTAAACATAATAATCATGTATAATATATTTCTAGAAATATAATATTGAAAGAAGATGATTTAATTATAGAGATTAAAAACAAATATTATCTCATTCGTAAAAAGTAATAATATATTTAATATTTAATAACAAAAAATAAGTTTCATTGTTGTTTTGTGTTTATTACATTTTATTCGCAATGTCTTTTCGTAAGTAACGAAATTAATATCAAAGAAAAAAATATATAACTTTTAAGTTGTAATATTCCTAATTGCCTAATTTATTAATTATTTTTTAATTTTAATTTTTAACATTAACTTTAAAAAAATATATCACTTTGAATCTAAAAAATTTTGGGTCATTTTATTGCAATTAACAATGACACCACTTAACTTTCTTCCACAAAATTCACCATCAAATACTAAAAATAGAAGACTTAAAACTACAGATAGAATTTCATTTTATTTTCGAAAGAACAAAAAATAAAAAACGCAAAATTACATAAACATAATTTATTAATAATCTACATAAAAAAATATTAATTGTGGTGGCTGTGGATAAGTCTCATGGACATATGGCGGTGGTACCCATACATAACATAGCATAGTCATGCATACATACATACATACATTCGCACATTCATGTATGTAATGGAGTCTAACGCCACGACGCTTTCTCCCATTTTCCATGAAACGATTAGTCGTACATACATCCACACCACACAACACCAGACGCGTGTTTTGAATTTTCCTTGTTCATCTTCCTCTTCTTCTTCTTCTTCTTCTTCTTCTTCTTCTTCTTCTTTTTTATTATAACATACAAACTCAATAACACAAAATTGTTCCTAAGCAGAAGAAGAATAGGCAATGGGTACTCTCATAGACTCCCATTTCTTAGCTTTCACCGCACTTATCACTGTAATCATTCCCAATTTTCTTCTCTCAATTTCATATCTTTTACTACTATTGTTATTATCTAACATTTGCTTATTTTTGGTTTAATTTTGCAGATTGGTTATCAGTTTCTGTTTTTCGTCGTCACTGCGCTCCTCAAATTCGACAAAGTCACTGATTTTGCGGGTATCATTATTCTTTACTTCACTTTGACCCTTCCTTTGACTTAAAAAAGTAATAATACTTTATTCTGTTCTTTTAATTAACAAATAAGTTACTAGTATATTTTATTGTTCTGTAATGAATAAAACAAAGCGGTTGTTGAAATCGTTCTGCCATGGATTTTTCTTTGAAGGAAGTACGAATTTCATTATAATTGCTGTATTGACCTTGGTGATCAAAGGCTCCTGGTATTTTCGACAGGTAATTTAACGTTTCCTTTCCTTTTCGTGTACTTGAAATTATCAGACTAAAACGGATCATAATTTTGGACTATAAAACAATCCTTCTTTTTTCTACCTGAGTCCTGGTCGATGACGATTACAATCACTCTTTTCAGATAATACTGACTTTGTTTGTTGGGATATGGGGATTTCGCCTGGCGCTTTTCCTCTTATTCAGGTATGTATCTGTATATGTATATCATGATGGATATTTATCACTTCTGCTAAAATAAATAAGTGAATGATATCTTGTGTGGTTTTCTTGCGATTAAAGTAAACTGTGCACCTTGATAAATTGGTGGTGGTACCTATGTGGAACGTCTATAATCTTGCCCATCTTGGGAGATGAGGGGGCCACTCTAAAGTTTTATACCTTATATTAACATTTATGATTTTGGTTCCAAGCTTAATGATTATTCTCAATTGTAACTTAATTTTATAACTTATATTATTTTGACCTCTCCAAACTAATGATTATTAAATATATCTTATATATTTACAAATTTGACCTCTCATCTTTTTATATTTTTTTATCTTTTTACATTCATTTTTATTTATTGATAATAGATTATTTGTCCCCTCAAAATCCACCACTGATTATAGAGTATAACTCTATTGAATTGTGTGGTTTATTTCATGTATCACATTCTATGTCCTTTTTCTTTTTATCTATTACCTTTACTTTTGGCAGAACATGAATGTTTCATTTCATATTCAACTTTACATGATTGAGTGGAACTGATTGTTGTCTCTTTACTTATCCAGAACATGAATCTATGATATGATTATCATATCGTATTATTGATGTTTGTTTTTGTAAAATTCCCTTTCAATTGGTGCACTTTTATGTTGTACACAGCATTGTTTAGCATGTTCCTGACATGAATGGTTCAGTGACTAATTTGTGATTAAAGAAAGTATAATAGCAAGGCACCATAATTGTCAAGAAATTTATTGATTTACTTTACTGTTAAACACATCAGTTCTTCCCAAATTTTCATGCTGAAGGTATGTTGCCTTCAACATTAGGATGCAACTCAATTTTATTAAGTGCCTTTCTGAATGTCTTATAGTTTATCTAATTTATGAATATGCTTGTCAGAATTTTGCAGTGGGGAGAGGACCGACGCTTTGATGAAATGCGCAATAATTTGGCTAGACTGGCCATATTTTGGATATTTCAGGTTTCTTAGATTTATCATTTTTGTTTCAAGATTTAGCATGCTGATGTTAGTTTTTTCAGGAAATCTTCTCTTTTGATGTTTTGTAATAGATAATTTACTTCAACTTTTTGCAGGCTGTCTGGGTGTGGGCTGTGAGTTTACCTGTCACGTTGGTTAATGCAAGCGACAGAAATCCCTTTCTACACGTTGTGGATATAATAGGATGGATTATGTGGGCTCTCGGTTTTATTGTGGAAGGTACAGCAGATCAACAAAAGCTGAATTTCAAAAGATCTTCAGAAAATAGAGGGAAGTGGTGTAATGTTGGACTCTGGAAATATTCTCGTCATCCTAACTATTTTGGTGAGGTAAGTGCTATTATTGCTTGCAAATGAAAATATTTGGTATTGCAGGCTGTATATGGAAGAACTTGCAAGAAGTTCAGTTGAATTTGTGAATTCAGCTAGGGACACTCATCCAAAAAGTTATAATTTTTAAAAGAGTACAAGACACTGGATTAGGTTGGGATAACCTAAAATATTAGCAAAACTGTTCTCAAAATACATTAGGTCTAATTTCTAATTTCCATGTACTGTTCTGAGTTATTTGAAACACATGATACATAGAATTTATTTAGACAGATTAATGGTGAAATGACTTGGAATATTGTACAGCTATTTCCATGAAAATGTGCACAATAGTTGCAGATGCTAGAATAGGCTATTTATTTACATTCCTGCCTCTTCTACAGAATAAACTAAAGTGCTAAGTTTTCACTTTTTGTTGCTTCGCCAATAGTTTTTTGGTTGGTCTTTATAGGGGTTTCAATGTTCTAACAATATTTCTTAATTTATTAGACAACTAATGTGAAACCTTAATGGGTCATGAATGCTTAACTTAGATATTACTTTGGTGGGGGATTTTTGTGGCATCTACACCTGTACTGGAGGGTGCTGAATGGCTGGTAATCATCGGACCAATCTTTCTCACATTGTTGCTTCTCTTTGTCAGTGGCATTCCGCTGCTTGAGGTTTGCGTCTTATCTTTTTTTTTTTTTTTTTTTTTATCAAATTTGTGCTATAATTTCATGGCTTTAGTGTTGACGAATTGCATGATGGGAGACAGGATTCGGCAGATAAGAAGTTTGGCAATGTAGATGGATATAGGATATACAAAAAAAGAACCAGGTTAATTTTTCTCCTCCATGTTATTATTTACTTTCAGTCTTCTTAAGGAGAAATGTCTTTCCACCTGATGGGATGAGTCTATTTTTGTTGTTATATCGTTAAGAAAAATTAACTAAGCCAAATCCTTTTCAGCCCTTTAATCCCGTTGCTACCATCAGTCTATGGGAACTTACCGGCATGGTTCAAAACAGCTTTTCTCTTTGAATTTCCATTCTACAGTCGTAGTCTTCCACAAGAAGAGAACTGGTGAGATGCAGTTAAATTCCAATTGCATGTGCATTTTTTATTCTTTGGATTTCACCAGCCTAAGTATTTTTTATCATATGAATTAATAATATTCAAAGTTGTCTGAATGATTTATAAAGCATCATTTGTTGGAAAGAACAAAAAGAGTAACTCGAGATTTGCACCATGGATTTGATGCAAGACTGCTTTGTGGATTAGAACATCATATCCCCTAGATTATAATGTTGGCATAAATTAATTCATTAAGGTGGCTATGTTAAAGATAATCCAGAGCCATATTTGTCTATATTATCAACATATCTGCCTAAAGCAATATGCAATTGTTTAAGAAGTTCATATGTTGTTGTCTCTTAATGATCTGGAAATGCTTTAAAAGTCCTTATTGCGTCTCTTAATTGTAGGTGATATTATATTTAATTATTTACTGTCTGCTCAAGGTGTAGAGCAAGCAGTAGCAGAAGTGACGATCTGAAAATTGGCTAGCACTTCGCCCTTGGAATTTGTTTGATTCATTTCAGACGTCAGACTCAAGTTGCAGCTTCATTCGTTTATGTTTATGATTGAGGCTCGTGATGATGCTATTGTTGCTCGTTCTCTCTTCAGATATCTAAATTCACCTTCACGTACTATATTTGTTTGCAGATACTTTTGGACCATCATCTCTGTTTCTCATCTTATTTGTTTATTTTATTGCAACTGTCATTATGGATCTGCAACATGTCAAAGTTTAGCAGATATTGGACACAAATGTTTTGTTGATGCATCAGAATATTGTATTTAGCAAAATAACAGAACGCCTTGTCTGATGAATATCTGTCATTCGGCATATAAGGTTGTGTTTGGTTTTGTATGTATTTTTTTTTTAAACTATTTTGTAAATTAACTGTCATGGTAGAATTAAGCAGACTATCTGGAGGCGATTGTTTTATAAATTGAATGACAAGTTGGAGAGAGCAAATGAAAAATCCCTTTCTTAACTTGCCTAGGGTTGTTAAACTCAAGTTCCATTAACTCTTGTTATGGAAAAACACTCTTTACGGTGATGGTTGATAGATTGGCTAGGATTGCTCATAGCAGTGTTACTGTTTGTTATGTGTGGCGGTTTTCCCTAAACCATATAAAAAAACGCAGTTAATTTACTTTGACGTGAAAATAGACATGATTTTCATTCGTTCCACTGCTACACTAAAAGCAAAACCTCTTAAGTTCCGCATGTTGGATTGCACGTTTAAAAACAACTTCATCTGCGTCTGGCAAAAGCTACAATGTGTAACTTCTGCGTCCTTTGCTGTGTTAAAATCGTGCTAGTGGTAAACAAACACACTATCACCAACTATCATTAATATGAATTGCCTGTTTTTTTGAAACATGAAGTGGAATGTTCACAAAATTGTTATCGTGTCTGTATACATTATAAAGATATGGAAAGCTAAACAACGTCAACCATGCTTTTTCCCATTACAAAGGTGTTACAGAGATCAGATGATGCCGCAATATTTTAATGCTAATCATGACCATGAAAAATTATTTTCCTATTGTTGGTATAATTTACTCAATATAAGAGAAATGAATAGAAAAGTAAAAAAGAAGAAATAAAATACGGAAAATGTATAAAACTAAGAAAGAGGTACAGATAAATTAAAGACAACAAGATTTGTAAGTACATTTGACTATACATTTCACACATTCCCATCTAGTAAAATTCATTTTTTTTGTTTATCTTTATTTTCATATTCATTCTTCTTAAATCATATCTGTTGCTTTTAAAACCTTTTTCTCTAATTTAAATTTTAATTACTTTTCTCTTCAAAATTGTTAATAATTTATCTTATATATAAAAAAAGTTACTTATATACTAAAATATATTTATTTATCATAATTTTTGATTAAAATATAAAGTGTTTATTTATATTTATATAAATACATATTTGTCTTATACAGTACACAAACTATGTTATTTAAAAAAAAATAAAACAATAATACTTCTCTCATTTCATGGAAAATTAGGAGAGATATTTTTACACCTTGAATCCACCCAAAAACAAGCTCCTTAATTATATCTTCTTTCAATAATAATTCAATATTTCCATAACATTTTATTTTCTATTTACTCTCATCCTATGCTAGGGTTACATGGTGGACATAAAAACACAAGACTATGAAAAGAAAGATGAAGGTTCAATAAACTTTACAACAAAAATTAATTTTTTTTATGGGAAATCTAACAGTCAAATACATACTTAAGTAAGGGAAGAGGCTAAACTGATTATATATATATATATATATATATATATATATATATATATATATATATATATATATATATATATATATATATATATATATATATAGAGTTTAGAGAGTTAAAATAAAAATAATTTATTTTTTTGGTAGAGTTAAAATATGAACTCAAGATAATTAGTTTAATATTTGATTAGTTTTATTTATTTTTGTGTTTCTTTTTATTATAAGCAAAATCAAGTTCAAGAAAATCCTAAACCCAAAAGTTTTGTATTTATAATTGTTGAATTGAGAAAAGAGGCAACAAATGATTTTTATCAAGGTGAGAATATTCATCCGCTAGGATTCTTCTTTATATATTTGATTTTATAAAAAATTCATCAATTATCATGACAATTATCTTTAAATTTATCAAACTTTATTTGTGGGATCTTCCTTTATTCGGATTTTTTTCTATTTTATTCTCAATTCATAATTTTTGGATTTTAATTGGTTTCTTAATCCTAAATTTTTTTACATCAATATTTAAAATCTTATTAGGTTAGTGATAGGATTAGCATCACAAGGTTAGTTTAGCAGTGGCAAGGTGAAAGGGGTTTCCACAAGCTGAAACGTGTAAAAGAGGATTATATAATATTGCTAATATTGGAGGGCATTCTCAGGCTTTTGGAAACCAGCAGCATCCTGCCTCAAAATGCTGACTATCGCAACCACTATAACTGCTGCTTTGAAGTAGAAAGCTACGGTAGTGCATACTGAAAGCACATTGATCATTATGGTATACGTTTCAACATTTGAACAAGAGATGTTGAATGTGTAGGACGTATCTATTTATAAAGAAGAAGCATGGCTTCATCTACCATGTCAATCTTGCAATGACCATTAATCAAGACATCAGGATTCAGGTTCTAAACCCTATTCAATACTTTCTCTTGCCTCACTAACATTATTGCTCAAACAATAACCCTCCAGACACACTTCGAATTTCCAAGACCCTTCCTTCGAAAATATTACTTTATTAATTTTTTTAAAATTATCTATTAATTTTTTTATTATTATTTAGAATAAGAAAAAATAATATTAAATTATTATTTTAAGTTAGATAATTTTAATTGAGATATTATTAATATGAAATATTTGATTATATTTTTAATATATATATATATATATATAATGGACTTTTTTACTAAAATAACATTCTTATATTATATATATATACATAAGAGAATATCTGATGAAATTATTTACTTAACTGAACCTCTTTTACTTGTTGTACTTGGAATTTGGTTTCTCGTAAACCGAATTCCAACTTTAAACTTACCACTTTTTTTTAAATAAAAAATTAAATTAAATATATAATTAAAAATAATAAAATTAATATTAATATTAAAAATAATATTTTAATTTTAAAATTTAAATAATATTTATATAAAAAATAATATATTATTTAAATATATATTAAATTATTTAAATATATTTAAATAATTATTACAAATATTAAATAATAAATTTTTATTTTATTTTTTTATTTTTGAATAGGAAATTTAAAGTTTATATATTTTTTATTATATGAATTATTTAAGTTATAATTTTAGAAAAAAATTGATAAATTTAATATATAAAATATTAAAAGTAAAATTAAAAATAAGTTATTAGTAGCAAAATAAAAATTATAGAACATGATATTAAAGAAAAATAATAAAGGTAGAAAGATTTTTATAGAGTGAAAATAATAGAAGTTTATGAAGAAGAAAACCCTCCACAAATTTCTCCCGAAATTCAAGAACAACCACACCGACGAAATCCAAAACGAACTGGACACCGCTTTTGAGATTAAAATTTTCTTAACATTATTATCAATAATTTTATTTTTCAATTTTTATTATCAATAATTATGTTATTTTTTATATTATACATTAAATTTTGTCAATTTTTATTATTTTTTATTTTTAAGTTTATTTTATAATAATAATAATAATTTGTAACTAATTAAATAATATTTTTACTTTATTATTTAAAAAAATTAATTTTAGCATGAATTTTTTAATATAATATTTATAATTTATCAAATAAAAACTATTACATAAATTTTTATAATATAATATTTAATTTTTTAATATATTACCTAAATTAAATTTTTATTTATTCTATTTTTTTCTAAAATTATAACTTAAATAATTCATATAATAAAAAATATATATAAATTTTAAATTTCCTATTCAAAAATATAATAAAAATGTATTATTTAATATTTTTAATAATTATTTAAATATATTTAAATATTATATTATTTTTATTATTTTTATATAAATATTATTTAAATTTTAAATTAAAATTTTATTTTTAATATTAAATTTATTATTTTTAATTATATATTTTATTTAAAAAAAGTGATAAGTTTAAAGTTGGAATTTGATTTACGGAAAACCTAATTCCAAGTATAATAGTGAAAGTGGTTCAGTTAAGTAAATAATTTTATGAGAGGTTACATTACCTATATGTATAATATAATAATATTATTTTAGTAAAAAAGTCATAATGAGTCATAAATAAAATATGAATACACTTAAAATTACATAATATCATGTATCAAAATACACATACAATATGACATATTAACAACTTTGATTTCTTATGATAAAAATGAAAGATGAATAAAGCTTTTCATAAATTATTATTTTAGTTTTTAATGGTAGAAGTTATGATTTATGAATGGTTAGATTGCAATCTTGTCTAGAATATTATATTTATAGAAAGGTGTAAAAGAGGATTATATAATTGATTTATTACTTGATAATTTTATTATAACCTAAATCAAAATTTAAAAAGAAAAAAATAAAGAAGATAAAACAAAATTATGTTTGTATTAAATTATTTTATAAATGATTCTCACCCGAATCATAATCCTAAAGTCTTTTAAAAATTTAGACATTATTTAAAAAAAAATATAATATATCATAAAGATGAAAAAAAAAAGTATCTAAATGAGAAAACTCTATCAATCAATCATGTCAACCTTAATATTACAATAAATACACCTAAAAAAAGACAAAAAGAGATCTTGAAACACAAAAACAAGACTCAAGTAAAAAGATGAAGAACTAAAAAATCACGGTCAAGAAATTAAGAAGTTAAATTAAAAAAATGTGCATAAAAAACTACAGAAATTGAAAGAATTTATACCTACTATAAATTTGTCTGTGTTAAAAAGTAATAAAATAAAAATAAAAAAATAAATAGAGGTGTTTTGAACAAAAAAAATGTTTTCTCCACGTTATTATATTTTTGTGAACGAAGGACAAATGGAACGAAATTAAGAAAACAAATCCTAAAATATTAATGACTAGATCAAAGATTAAAAAAAAATTGAAAGAAAAATTGGTTTGAGAGTGATTAATGAAAAAGAGCAGACAAATATCTAATTCAAATAAAATAAACTAAGGAGAAATGTTAAAAATATTAGTGTTTAACATCATTTATTTAAATTGATATTAGAAGATTTTTATTATTTTTTATAATTAAAAAATATATTAAATTATTATTAATTGAAGTAATTATAATTAAAATATTATATATATAAAATATATAAATAGAGATGGGATATGAATATAGACATCTTCATAAACCCCTATAAAATTTCCAATAGATCCTTCTCTGCACAAGGTATCATCCAATGTGTTAAAGGTATGATCGTCCGGTTCAATGTTTTCCGCACCATCTTATCAATCGAAATGCTTCACGTCATTGACCGACACTACAACAATCATGGATCAGAGAATTGTAGGTGACATCAACCAACATACCCTTCGAAGGGGCTCGGATAAACAATCGTAGCGCATCGGACCCAAGTCTATCTTTGCACAGTCCACCAATGATAGTGCTCCAAGTTACCAGATTAGGCTAAACCAAATCTTCCTCCATCTTTTGCAGCCATCTCTTGTTTGCCCATATTTACATAACCCATTGATCAAAGACCCATATGAGAACTCATCCAAAAGATACCCTTTGGCCATTAGGTAATGGGGAAAAGCGAGAGCTTTGGAGATCATGCCATTGATGCAGAAACCGTTAATGAGGGTATTGAATGTGACCATGTTGGATTGGTAACCCATCTTGAGAATGGTTCCAAAAAGAGAAAAGGCAAAGGACGTGTGAGCCTGGTGGCAGTAACAATAGGTCAAGATGGTGAGACTGGCAATGGAAAGGGTGATTCCGCGGAGGTGGAGTTGGAGTTGGGTGATGAGGGAAATGACAGAGGGTTAATGACTGATCCAGACAATAGCTCTCAAAAGCATGTCGAAAGCGAAGATGGGTGGGGGAGGGTGGGTTCGGAGCATGCTATTAAAAGAAAGAAGGGCGTTGTCAAGAATGTGAAATCCAGAAAAGTTATGGAGTTGTAGTGACCCAAGAGTCTGATATTTTGAGAGAAAGGAAAAGAAAGGAGAAGGTGAAGACGAGGGAGGACGTACCTATGCTGTCATTCAGCATGGTCTCAATTTCCCGTTGAATACTGTCAAAAACTAGATATAACTTCCTACCACGTACACATAACATAATATATGTATAATTAAGAATCAAGTAAATATAATAAATAAATATATATATATATATATATATTATTTCTAATAATATTTATAATATTTGATATTTAATATTTTTTCTAAAGTTGAAGCATACGTATCAAACTTATTATAAATATAATCAATATTATAGGTTCCTGTAAAGACTTGATAAAAATATCCGATAACTGTTCAATTGAGTTAACAAATGTGGTCTTAATATCTTCAAATACAATCTTTTCTCGAATAAAATGACATTCAACTTCAATGTGTTTGGTACTTTTATGAAAGACAAAATTATTTAAGTGATATTTCTAAATTGCAACTCTTTACATAATTGTTTAAGCCAAATAAGTTCATAAGTAGCTGAGATCATATCTCTAAAATCATAGTCCTATACGCTGCTTCTGCACAAGATCTAGCTACAACACTTTGTTTTTTTGTTCTTCTCAAGAGATCAAATTACCTCTAATAAAAGCACAATATCTAGAAATAAATTTCTATCAGAAGGAGATCATGCCCAGTCAGCGTTTGAATAACAGACAACTTTAGCCTAATTATTGTGATTATATCACAAACCTTTTTCAGAAGATGATTTAATGTACTTTAATATACAAATGACTGCACTCCAATGATCTACACATGGAAAATTAAGAAATTGACTCGTCACACTAACTACAAAGGAAATGTCAGGACAAATAATAGTAAGATAGTTTAATTTTTCAACTAATCTTCTATACTTCTCACGATCTGAGAGAGGCTCCCCCGATTAGGTAGGAGTTTGGTATCAAGATCCATGGGTGTGTCAACAAATTTTGAGTTCATCAACCCAGTTTCTTCTAAAATATTCAATGCATACTTTCTCTGAGATATAACAATGTCATTATTGGATTATGCTACCTCAATCCCCAAGAAATATCTAAGTATGCCAAGATCTTTGATCTGAAAGTAGTGACAAAGGTGTTGCTTCATCTGGAAGATGTCATGGTGATCACTCCCTGTAAAAACAATATCATCAATATATACCATTAAATAGATACACCCAACACTTGAGTGACAGTAAAATACTGAATGATCTGCCACAGTGCGAGTCATACAAAACTGATGAACAACACTGCTAAAATTTTCATACAAGGCTATAGGAGATTGTTTTAGGCCATATAAAGATTTGTGAAGACGACATATCAATCCTGAAGACTCCTCCTGAGCAACAAAGTCTAAAGGTTGCTCCATATAAATTTCTTCCTGCAAATCTTCGTTAAGAAAAACATTTTTGACATCCAATTGGTAAATTGACCATTATTGAAGAGTAGTCATGACTATGAATAAGTGAACATAAGTCATCTTTATCACTGGAGAAAATATGTCACCATAGTCCAAACAAAAAATTTGTGTGTAACCTTTGACCACAAAACGAGTTTTGAGAAATCAATAGTACCATCAAGACCAACTTTGATAGCAAATACCCACCTGCAACCAATAATAGATTTCTCATACTATAACAGGACGAGTTCCCAAGTTCTACTATTCTGAAGAACATTCATTTCATCAAGCATGACTTGATGCCAACCAAAATCGACTAAGGCATCACCAACAAATTTTAAATTGACACAAAAGAAATGGACGAAAGGTAGGTATAAAAAGATGGAGATAATCTATGGTAACTCAAAGCAGTATAATGAGAAGAGAGATTACAAGTAGAAAATATACCTTTACAGAGGACAATTAGAAGGCCAAACTCAGTTGTCGGAGCCAGAGGAGACAAACAAGTTGGCACTAGACGTGAGTCATTTTGTGGTTGTTGGGATTGTTGTCTTTGATTATAAACCTGAAGTGGTGGCAGAGGAGAATCCAAAGGTGGGCTAACAGAAGAATCACACACAATAGGAATATTGACAATAACAAATGGTGACACACATGGAGAAGAAAAACACTTAAAATAAAAGGAAAACTCATTAAATATAACATATTTAGAAACGATTAAGAGAATGAGAGAAACACTTATATCCTTTTTGTGATCGAGTAAATCCTTAAAAAACACATTTGTGTGATTTAGGAGATAACTTATCATGAACATGACTAAAATTAGTGTAATTTAGGAGATAACTTATCAAGACCAGGACTAAAATTATAAACAAAATATGTAAACCAAAAAATTTTAAGAGGTAAGGGATATAGAGGTTTATGGCGAAATGAAAGAGAACAAGAAATTTTGTTATTTAGAACCGAAAATGACATGCGATTGATAAGATAACATGCAATAAGAACAACATCATCCCAAAAATGTTTAGGAATCTCACCATAAATTAAAAGAGTGTGAGTTGTTTCAACAAGATATTTGTTCTTGCGCCCAACCACCCTATTTTGTTGATGTGTATAAGCACATGAAGTTTGATTAAGAATATCATGAGTAGCCATAAAAATTTTAAAAGAAATCATTATCACTTCGCAAAATTCGAATAGAAATCTCAAACTGAGTTTTAATTTTATTAAAAAAGGATTGAAATATAGAAAATAACTCAAAACGATTTTTCATTAAAAACAATCAAGTACTTCTAGAATAATCATCAATAAAGGTAACAAAATACTGAAAACCTAAATTAGATTTAACATGACTGGGTCCCCAAATGTTAGAATGAACTAATGCAAAAGGGGACGAAATTCGTTATGAGACACTACGAGGAAATGAACTACGACTATGTTTTTCTAATTGACATAACTCACATAATAAACTAGATAAATTGGACAAATTGGAAATAAGTTGCTAAGACTGGAGTGACCTAGTTGAGCATGGAGGAGAGATGAAGACTCCATAACTGTATCAATATGTGTAAAAGAGCGAAGATGATAAAAATCATGAGAGTCCATAACTCTACCAACATGTGTAGAAGGGGGAGATGATAAAGATCATGAGGCTCACATCTGGTGCCAATTATCTGTCTCAAACTCGGGTCTTGTAAACAAATAGAATCTTTGGTAAAAGAAATAACACAATCAAGAGAACGAGTTAGACAACTAATGGATACTAAGTTAAATGGAGACTCAGGAACATAAATAACATTATCAATGGATAACGATGAAAAAAGTTTAACAGTACCAATACCATAAGACAAAACCCTAGACTCATTAGTCATTGTAATCGAAGGTAAATTATTCGGAGAGGATAAAAAAGAAAATAAAGATTTGTTAATAATAATATGATCTTTGGCACTTGAGTCAAGAATCCAAGGTCCAATAGAAGGAGATTGAATTAGGTTAACAAAAGATGTACCTTTGAGTGCAACAAAAGTAGTGGAACTAGAGTTCTGACAAGACTCGTACCATTTGAAAAATTAATTGAAAATAACATATTTGTCTGTAGTATAAAATGACAATAGCGTGTATGAAGACTTTAATTGCAACGATTTCAATAATATGATGATTGCCTAATTAAGACGAGTAAAACAGTATAATTATGAATCTAAACTTTTACTGGATGGTAACTTCAATAACAATGATAACTCCAATGACAATAATCAAAAAATAAAAATTTAAACTCTAGATATTATATTAAATATAATAACTAAATATAAGATTAATTTTCTTATATTTAAAATAAAAAATATATTTATAATTAAAAATTATATAAATAAATATATATAATATAACTAATAATATCTAAAACATCTATCTTTTCTTTTTCACTTTGACTCGCCAAAACAATCTATGGCTGCTTCGTCAACTCACCAACCCTCCGTTACTGTGGAACCCTGCAACATGCCCGCTGTCACTTCGAATGAAATACTAATCCGCACGACGTAACCCACTTTTGTTGAAATATTCTAAATTTAATATTGATAAATAGACAATTTTTTTAAAGATTTAAAATAGGTATTACGAGCACTGATAAATAGACATTTTTAATGATTTAAAATAAGTATTACCATTTCTCTGCAAATATACACCTCGACGAAACCCTAAACCGTAATATCATATGAATATAAATTGAATTAAATCAAAGAGTAGACCTAGAGACTTAACTGTACAATGCCATACAGAATGAGGCCTTCCAATGAATTACACCAATGAATAAATATTTATTAATAATTAATTGTGTTGAATACATAAAAAAAAATATTTTTCTTTCTCTACAATATTCAGTAGATAATAATTTGGAAAATGCATACGGCGGCATCTTCTGTTTTTAATGCTATGGTCAAAAGAGAGCTCACATCATAGCGTCTTCAAGTCACTCGCCGATAAGACGGTTATTCTGTGATTACACCTGCACTAAACTGTACATACAAAATACTAATTGCTACTTTAAACTTACAGTCCCTACGCTACGGAGCCAAGAAAACTTCTCAATCATACTCATTAGATCAGCCATTTTGTCAATACAAACAGCAGGACCTTGCTCCTCTAATGGACTCCCCTCTTTTTATGCAATGAAGTTCAACAACGTCAAAGAAATGTAATTCATCGAAATAGAAAGCTATGAAGTCCTGTATTTTTGTGGTCAGCATGCCCACTGCCTATATTTGATATATTCTGGAGTAACAAAATATATCCAATGCATCGAGGGCCTCCCAAAATCCGTGTTGAATGATACAAGTTAAAGACACGTTGCAACACAATCATACTCCAGTGTTATTAATGTTCTCCAATGAGATCTGGGCACCAGATCTACCCTCGTTTGATGGGCTAGAATGTGACAAAAGAATGTAAAACACCCAGAAATGAAGGCAAAGAAGATATATCAAAGCCCACCATTTTGCGGTTGTGTTCCTTTTTAGAAAGAGTGCACCAGTCACAAAAATATAATCTAGTTGTTGAAGCAACGATCCAAGCTGTCTCTTGCCAGAATGAATTCTGGCTTTTAGCATAGGCTTCAACTTTGAATTGGAGAGCTCCCATAATCCTGATTCTAAGTCACTTGATGAAGAAGCAGGATTCATATTTGTTGCACCTGATGCTGACATGTTCTCATCCAGCAACCTTGACACAGTCTGCTGAGTTGATTATGACAATTGAAAATCAAGTATATCACGGTTTCAAGAATTAGTATCATAGCATCAGAAAAAACATACCTCAATTCTGAATACAATACTAGCCTTCTCAGAAGAGAGTGATTCCACCTGACAAGCAGAATAATTTATTTGAATAGGTATAACACTTCAGAAAGTCCAGTCCCAATGCTGTATTTGAATGAATTTTGGAAATATTTCTGCTGCATTTTTAAACTGATGGATTATGAAAACTGGAACCAGTTAATTAGTTAGTCATTTTGGATTGATCAGATTGGCTGGTTCCGGTCTGAATTTAAAGTAGTGTTCCATGAACATTCGCACACGTTACATCCAATTGAATGTATTAAAAGTCACACCTTTGCTTGTTTCTGTATTAAATGGTCAGTCATTTGCCGAAGCCTTTGTTTGAGCTCAACTTCAACTTCTGTTGGCTCTTCCATCTCTTTCCTTGTTATTTCAATGTCAGATTCCAGCTTTCTTGCCTTTGATGTACAAATATTATCAAACAATTTCACACAGAAAAAGGAAATCATATTAAGTTCACGGGCACAAAGAAATAGTTAATGAATAGAGTTAAATCTATACTAATGCACGTATAAATGATGCAGGTATAAAGAAATAATTCATGATATGACATGGCATATTTTATATTTTAATTTTCAAATTTGTATGTAAATTGACTTAAAAAACATCCAATATATTTAAAGAAATATTTAAATGGTTCCTTAGAAAAAGGAAATCTGTCCAAGAGTTGAGTGTTAGCAATTGATTTAAATAAAAGTATTACCGCTCACTTAGTAAAACATTTAACTACCACAAAAGGATAAAAAGGACACCAAATGGCGAATTAGTGTTAATGTTACAGTTTCCAATAAGCCAAACTTGATTACTAAAGTAGTTCCTTTTAACATGGTTTATCTGATAGTGATAGGGAAGACAGACAGTGATGAAGATCTTATTGAACTCTATGTTGATTCAAGATCTTGAAGATTTGATGAAGTCAAAGGATCTCTGGGTTAAAGGGTGTAGTGATTAGTGAATCTGCATCAATATTAATGAGTTTCATCATTTGAAAGAATTAAAAATGCCTCTGTTTTAATTTGATAAAAACCTATTTAATCGATTAATATGTTCTTAAGACTTAAAATTAACTGATACTCTTTAAGATTAATCGATTAAAATTAGCTTGAAACATTCCTGACAGAGTTTTAACTGATGTATTTTCAAAATAATCGATTAAAACCACTTAAAACATATACTGTCACTGTTTTAATCGATGCACATTCGAATTAATTGATTATTTTCATTAAAGAAGTATTTGAAAACCTTTTGTCAGCATTTTAACTGATATAACTTCGAATTAATCGATTAAAATCACTTGAGAAGTTTTGAAAATTGTTATGTCAGTATTTTAATCGATGTAACTTCGAATTAATCGATTAAAACAACTTAGACAAGTTTTAGTTAAATGTTTTAATCGATTAAACCATGCTTTTATCAGTCAAAATCACTTATGAAGTTTTGAGAAATTTTATGATAGTATTATAATTGATTAAAATAACTTAAGGAATTTTTGTACAACTGTTTTAATCAATTAAATCACATTTGCATCAGTTAAAATAAATCTGAAAAATGATGAAGCACATTTTAACCGATTAAAAGACGTTTTAATTGATTAAATTTGTTAGGATCAAGAATTAATAATCGATTAAAAGAAATTTTAATCGATTAATTAAACCAATTAGTTAGAAAAAGTCTCTATATAAACAAATTTGTTTCAACATTTAAACACACCTTTGAGATATCAATCAAGCAATCAATAGAGATCTTTTCAAAGAAGAAGTGTGCTAGTTTTCGTGAAGTTTTTTTAGGGTTCTTTCTTGAGGCATTTTTGCATTCTTGCATGTGAAGAAACTCATTCTGCAGAGGAAGAATTACATCTGCATAACCGGGTTTGGTTGTTATAGTTTCTTCTCTTTGTTTTCGTTAATTCATATCTGTATTGTGTGGGTGTCTGGAAGATTTGAGCATTGGTTCTGCGGCTGGAATTTGGTTTCAGGTTGGTTAAAAAACTAGAACTAGGTTTTTGGTGAAGGTTTGGTTCAAGAATTGGAAATTAGTTCTTGGTGCAGATTAAGTGTTTTGTAATTCTGGTTTGTATTCAAAATTGTATCAATCTAGTGGAACTCAACTGGAATATGTAGTCCTGTGGTTTGGGTGAACCAGTATAATTCTTGTGTTTCTTTCTCTATTCCTATACACTCTTTAATTCTGATTGTGCCTTATACAATTCTGCTTGTGTTTCTTGGATCAATTCTTGGTTAGAATTCTCAATCTTTTGAAATAGATAGTCTGTATTCATAAAGTGCGAAAAAGTTTCAAAAGATCAAATCACCCCCTCTTGATCTCAGCCTACAATTCTAACATTATCAGTGGAGGGAAAGGAAGAACCAAATTCAAAACTATCAGTGTCAACCATAATAATAATAATAATTTAGGGTTTAAAGTTTAATGCCATATTTCTTACGTTTGAATATTTCTGTAATTTCTATATCTTAGGATGGGTAATTTCAGTAACTCATATCTGCAGTCTAGGGAACTTCTTTTTATTAGGATGAACAGTATGGAGGCAGTTATTCTGTAAAAACATATTAGTTAGTTTAATAAAACAGATAGATTATTATGCAGAATTTTTCAGAAAGTTATTGAGTATTCTTGGAGATCATCGGGTTCTCACTATCTACCCAAACTTATTTAACTAGATAGGGCACAAAGGAAGAAATCAGAAATCTATTGTTTTTCAACCATACTTTACTGTTCAAGGCCGTTTAACCTAACCTTAAGATAACAGGGCACATAGGTAAATTTTAAAAGCAATAAAAGGATGCAGATAATGGAAAATTTCCAAGACTTCAAATACAACATCGAGAAACTGAAATATACAGGTATGACTAATTCAAAGACTCATTTTGATCCTTCCAGTATTTGATTTAAAAATATAACTTGAAAACAAAAAAGAAAATCCTATTTAATACAAAGAAAAAATAGAGAAACCAAATTTCAAGATAGAAAATTTTGTGCAAACTAAAAATCATGAAATAAATTGCATCTGAAATATTATAGCTCTTCAAGGAAAAGAGTTTAAAACCTTACCTTTACCCCCAATTGAGTAACTTTGTCATTAATTAAAGAGAGCTCTGCCTCAAGAATTTCCCGTTCAAACTCCACACCTTTCGAAGCTAACTACAACATCAGCATAAATAAACATGTCAGGAATATCCATCTAAAAGATAGTGAGCATAGAACTTTATAAGGGAAATAAAAGATCTAACAAAATTAGATACCAAAGAGACACCCTCTTAAAGTCCCCCAGTTGTAAAAATTAACAAAAGAAGGCTATGGATCAATATGTATCCAGTTAAGCAAACAATCATATAACTTACTTGATTTTGTGATGTTCCAGTTTGACTGGGATTCTTCATTCTCCTTCTGAGCTCTACAGAAGGTTAAAAGGATTTGCTCATATCAACAACTTCCACACACTAAACCCACGCAATTTGACAAATTATGATACGCATTTATTATCAGCCAGGAAGTGCAGAAAGAAAGACAGTACACTACATATTCTTTCAGCCAGGCACTCTCAAGTTGATTGGCTCCCGAAATCCCTATAGCATCTGAGGACATATTTGCTTCAACTTCAAACCTAAAATGTATCCTTCTATCACATACTATGTTTAAGAACCACTTATTCACCAGTTACTTGCATAATTGCATTGACTTAAATTAATAATTATTTCACTACACTTTTTTTTCCATTTTTAATTAAATCTAGTGACTAGTCTTTAACGTCAGAACATATTCAAAGTAAAATGAGACAGGTATGAGGTATAAACCTAGGTAGTTAACAAGTCCCTTGAAAAGACTATATTATATTATCTGTTGGAAAAAAATAAAGTATCAAACAATGTGTCCATACTTTGTAAAGGTCCAGTACCTTCATGAAGCAACTCCTTTGACGAGACTTGCTGTCTAAGTTCCGCTACTTGTTTAACCTGATCAAACATATACGAAAAATTAATCATCATAATTTCATATTCTTTTCCAGATATATATGAGGACGTCCTGAGGATCAAGGAACAATGAGAATTGAATCAACACATGCTCATTGGTTCATTCAATTTCAATATATTGGACCTTTCTCTAATCCTTCCAAAAGCTACATCATCAATCAGAAGATTTTTAGGGGAATTGATTGGTTAATTCAGTTTAGTTTCAGTTTTCAGTTCCAGCAGTATTTTGGAGATTTTTCTAGACACCGTTGGAGCCACTCATAGGGTTAAGGTCTTGAGCTATATGGCACTTATCAGCTTTATTATGCTGTGAGATTGGTCGTATTCAATTATCAACAACCGTATTTATTATGTCACCATTGATTTTTTGAAATCATAAGTCATCACAAAATTAAGACTAGAGTCCAAAACCCAGAAAGAGTTACTTTACTAGCAAGCAACTATATTTTTCTGTTCAATAATTATTAATAGCTACCACCTACAAAGCTCATTTTCTGTGGAACATATGGAAAGGGAAGTCACCTAAAAATCTAAATATACCTCAATCTCAAGGTTCCACTGCACAGACGCAAGGGATCTTGCAAGATCAGCATTGGCAGTCTGCAATCAATCCAGACATTTATTAGCAAGCTCGTCTAGATATATTTGTGCAAAAAAGCATTATAAATTATTTACAGAAGGGTGTGGAAAATTATGATATCATATATTTGGTATAAACTATTGGTTTGAATAAGTTAAATCAACATACCTCCAGTTTAGCTAATCGTGCAAGAACTTCCATTCTAGTATTATTATGCTTCTGCTTTTCTAACTCAACAGCGTCCATTGTTTCCATCGTAGTACTCTGAAGCTGTGAAGCCTGAAGCAATGAACAAAAAGGATTAGATAAATAACCAACAGATCATACACATTATGTTCCATCCAGAACTGTTCATCAATACAACAGTTAACTCTGAAGCAATGTCAGCTAATTACAACAAATTCCTGTACTATTGTAGCATTTGGTAGGCATGTTAGAACAGGATAAAACATAAAATATGGTTTCTATTTCATCTTTAGTGCATTTTATAAACAAAAACAGAAGAGGAAATTGGATTAAAAATCGTGGTACGTTTTGATTCCTCTCAGAGGGTGAAACCAAGAGGATAAAAGCAGAATATAACCATTAAATTTTGTTACATCTGCAAACCAAACACTGCCTATGGAATTTGAAATTTTAATTTTACCACCAAATCACCAAAAGCAGGAAAGACACTTAAGAAATTTGTCCAACATTACCTATAGCCTTCAAAAGACACCATGTTGAGTGAAACCAGTAGACAAAAAGGTGAAAAAAGTAAACACAAAGATCAGTTCTTAAATTGTCATGATGTTACCTCTACTGCTTGTTGTTTAGCTCGCTCCTCGAGTATTTTCTCTAGACTCTCTTTCTCCCCCTCTAATTTGGCCACCATATTCTCCCGTTCCTTGATAGCATTTATTGCTTTAGCTGCTGCTTTTTCAACCATAATTCTTTCCTTCCTCTTTCTCCTTTCCTCCCTCTCATGTTCACTTTCAGAATCAGATGTTGAACCGGAATCAGAATCTGAATCAGAACTTCCATCACTAGCCATGGGTGAACCCGTTTTCAAATCATCAGATATTGAATTCCCCGAGATTGAATTAAGCGCATGCCTCTTTTTAATCGCACTTCTTGATTGACTGCCGTCAACATCTACCACAATCTTAGGTTCTTGCACCTTGTCAATCCGTAATGCTGGTATTGTTTCGGCAGCCAAAGTTTGATGGTCTTCCTGCAACGATTCTGGTGGAGAAATGTCCCTGTAGTTATACCGATGCTCATTTTCTTCATTTCCCTTTTCCTCTACCACGAACTTCTCAGAATTGTCCATGTCGGAATACCCAGGCTCTTTACCCCATTTACCATCAATCTCTGATTCAACTGTGGAATTCCTACCTGTTGAAGTCGAAGAGGTAGACTCCTTTCCATCATCACTGGCTTTTCCACTCAATTTAACTTCTTTCACATAGTCCGACTTCTGGAAGGACCTCGGACCACTGTTGCCACTTCTTGCATTCCTCTTCACATCCGACACCAAAGAACCTGAAGACAAACCCTTTTGCTTCCTACTACTATTTTTGCTCAAACCACGAGGTACAGGTAACCCATTACCATGATTGCTCCCAGAAGCAGAAACCTTAGCCTGAGTAGGTGTAGGTGCACTAAGGAGTTCAGTCCAATCATCATCTGTTAGGGTAGGTCCAGATTTGGGAGAGAGTTTGGGTGCACTTGCTGTAGCTTTAAGACCATTAAAATTGGGATCACTGCGCAATTTTCCACGATAATCACTGCTCTCGAAGGGTTTCTTCTTTAATTGATCCTTCAGAGACACATTGCTCCCTGATTTCGCGGGAGCATCAATGCTCGGTTCCTCGGATCGAAAACCCTCGTTCTTGCGAAGCGATTCAGCCGCTTGTTGATCGAGCTGAATCGTCCATTACACGATTAAATTAAGAAATGAATAGCGTTCATGAAAACATAAAGAGAAAGAACTAAGAACATTATAACCGCGCTATACATTAAAAATGACGATGAAAATTACATCTCCTATGGCTAGGGATTCAGAAAAGAGAAAAAAAAAGTGAAAGAGATTGCGAAGCATTATTATAGTTGGACTTGCCTGGTGGAGAATGCTCTCAGCTGCTTTAAGTTTGGAGGAGATCCAATTCGCCATGGCTTCAGACAACGAGATGAGAGGGAAGAAAAGGTCGCGTATCCGCAATACGCACGTGTATAGCGAACACAGCTCTTCGAGGATCTTATGCCCGTGCAGATATGATTTAAGAGGATGATGATTTTCTAAGCGAGAGATCCATGATGTTGATGATGAAGAAGAAGGGTGCCATGAAAGCTGCAAGGTAAGAAGGTAGAGAGTGAAAAATAGAGTGAATCACGGGTCATGTAACGCGCTTTGTTGGGCCAATCATTGTTGAGTGAATCGCACTGCTTCGGCTTTGGTCCCGATCGGCGTTACCAACAATGATTTTGCTCTCACAACCACCTAGCAGTCCAAACTACCATATAACGGGCTTCAACGCTGGGTCTTTGGAGCCCAGTAAGGTGTGAAGTCCATTACAGGCCCAGTACAAGTCTAGTAGATTAAAAAAAAAACAGGTAAAAACTAAAATCCCTCTTTCTCTTTTAGGGTTTCATTGGTTGGGCTTATCATTCAATGTTGGATCCATTTTCTTTTTTAGTTTAAACTGGTTCTTATTGAAGATGTAATTACTTGCAGACATGGAGCATTTCGGAAGAGATTTAAAATTTAAACTCTAGAATCGATGATTTATTTTTTATTTTTTTATGATTATTGTAGAACAAAATAATTGGATCTGTGTAATTTGAATTTCCACATACTTCCTTTTTTAAAAAAATCATATTTTTATGAAGGGTCACAAGTTTTATAATTTTGTAAGATTCAATTGTCGTAAACCATAATGTTGACCCATTCACTTAACCGTTAAATGTAATTTAAATAAATATTATTAGTGGCTAATAAATGGATTTAATAATTCTAAAAACATAGTTTATTAATATTTTAGAATATTTTTTATTTTATTTCTATTACAATTAATCGAAGAAGGTTACTAGTTTATTATTTTATTTTACCTTAAAAAATGCGACCTTCTAGAAATGGAAGAGTACATGTGTGTTCTGCGATGCATAAAGGCCAGATTCTATGCAAGATATCATTTTTAATTCAACCTTGGTTTCTCTGCACGCACATTTTCATCATAATAAGTTTTTGATAATTTGTATATTTTTTTCAATATTACGTTACATAATTAAAAAAAATGGTTGAAAATAACAAAATCATATATCATAACTTATTAAAAAAAGAAAAGAAAAAATCTAGCTGCAGAACAAGGAGTAAACGTCGATAATAATAATAAGAAGAAGAAAAATTTGTAAAGGGAAATAGAAAAAATGAATTAGTGAAAAAAAAATTCCGCAGGAAATGTCTCATCTTGAACAGCAAGAAGTAGCTTGTTTAGTTGCAGTGACTTCATCTGCAACATGAATCTCCTTCCCATTTAGAAGATTAATCGGTTTCTCGTCCAGTTTGGCTGCCAAATTTTTCTGCCTTGTCATGTCATAAATCCTTGTGATCATTTGCAAGAACACTTCCTCAACGTTCAGATTCTTCAAAGCTGAGGTTTCCATGAAGCATAACCCTTCTGTTTCAGCATACCCTTTTCCTTCTTCTTTCTCAACCTCTCTTGATTGATCCAGATCGCATTTGTTTCCCACCAGAACAACCACCATGTCTTCCCCTCCAAACTCTCTCAGCTCCAATAACCACTTTCTCACATTCTCATAACTCGATCTCATGCTTATGTCATACACTAGCACTGCCCCCGAGGCTCCTCTGTAGTATGAACTTGTGATTGCTCTAAACCTGTCACAAGATTATAACCCTGTTTTTCAGAGTGAATTTCATGCATTCCCCGTATGATTTCTAATAAAAAAAAATTACATTTTGAAACTCTTAACCAACTTTTCAAGATATAATTCTCCTAACAATGTGTAGATAATTAGAAATAGAGATGAATTGTGATTGAACACCAAAATAATTCAGTTCCACACGAGACTCTCAGTCAATCACTTTCATCATGTTTTCTTTATCTAACTGGAACAAGTCCACGTCTCGGACCCGCATTGCCTGATAGTTACGCTACATAGATTGCATTGCATGATGACACAAATGAAGAAAAGAAAACTTGGTTTCTACACTTCATAACCAACAGTGACCCATACTTTTTTAACTCGTTTTTCGTTCACATCATTCAACCCAATTAATGGAACATAGTACGGTGACATGCTCATTATTCAACTCCTCTACACAATAGTTCTGCCTAATTCATGATGAGAATTGAAAATGCTCAGAAAAGAAGAAGTGAAAAAGAAGGAAACTGAGAGCATGTAACCCAAACGAAAAAATAGTAATTACTATTCTTTTTATGGATTTGGAATAAAACGAAAGTTACATGCACTCACAGAAAAGGAGGAAATAACGGCAAGGTTCCAATAAAGCACCTACGTTGGAGGGAGAACATGTTTTAGATTTGTTAAAGTTTTTTGTTCACAAGTTTATGTACTAAATTACATATACAAATGCAGGCATGGAATTCAATCATGATAATGTTAGTGTCTTCAGGGTCCCACTCAATGGATTCTAGCGTTATTCTTTTTCTGATTCATTCCCCCACGTAATTAAACCAGTACTAAATTGGCATTTGGCAGCTATGACATTTTTTAATCATCAAATCTAAGAGACCATCACGGATGAACAGAGTAGTTTAAAAAATGCTACTATATTTTTCCTCCCTCCCCATCTTTTTTCTTTATTTAGCCAATTTTTTTGAACAAACGCCATGTTTAGTTGACAAAACTACAGCTAAAAGTGGGAAAATATGCTTGCCAGAAACAGAACTGAGAACTGAGAAGTTCATTGTAATTTCGACTTGAATTCACATCAATCTTCTATATTAATTAAATCCAGTGAAAACCCAGATAGAAATCAAAACCCCCCGTTTGAAAAGCCTTAACCTTTCATCAAAACAAGTTCCATGGTTGTGTGATCTGCTGTATATGCAACTGAATTCTTAACTACAAACTTAAGAATATTCTATAAAGACGGTTAATCCGACAGTGCACTGATAAAACAAAAATGAGTATATAATCTTGAAAAATAAATTAAGTAGTAACGATCGGGGACTAAGAATACAAAGGAACAATTGAACAAACAAAAGAAAGGGAAAAACAAAGTTGAAAGTGATGACCAATTGAAAAGACAAGAAAGACTCATTCATTGGAAGTGATGAAAAGAAAGGAACAGTGGTTTCCTTACCTTTCTTGGCCTGCGGTGTCCCATATTTGAGCTTTGATGAGTTTGTCTCCAACCTTGATGTTCTGGTAAGCAAATTCAACTCCTATGGTGGGTTTGGAATCCAACCTAAATTCATCTTTTGCAAACCTTGAGAGCAGATTTGACTTCCCAACTCCAGAGTCTCCAATCAGAACAGCCTTGAAGAGATAGTCACACTCTTCATCAAATGCATCAGCCATAAATATGACCCTTATCTATTGATCTCTACCTTCACCACTAAAGCCTCTTTTCTCCTACTACCCTGAGAGAAGAAATTCAAAGGGAACCACAAGACTAATAATGAGGAGGAGAAAAAACTTAACTACAAAGAAAATGTTGATCATGAGCTATTGGGGCAAGGAAGAGAGTCAAAATAGGGTGCAAGGTCATGATCATATTTATATACTAGAATGTTAAACAAAGGGGGCACTAGACTACACAATTCTTTAGTATTTTATTTTGGAGGGTTTTGAGTATTTACATGTGAAACCATTGAAAAAGGCATTATGAGTAATAATCCTTGATGTTGTCTACACCTGTGGAAGAGCCAGCCATGGTTGCCTCCATTTCAGAGAAGGTCCAATGGTATTTTTCCACTTGTTCCCATCAATTTTTTGTATATGAAAATTGGCATTTTCATGCTTATGTGTCCTTTCAAGATTGGCAAACACTACTTTTGTGCATCACTCATTTAGATTGGTTATGGAGTAACATTGTTTAGATCATAATCATCTCAAGGAGGTTAAAAATTGCACAGGGTAATGTTTCTTTATTATAATATATCTTCCTTTGAAAAAGACTGTTTTACAAAGGATGATCATAGATGTTTGTGGTTAGGTACCGTTGTAATGATCAAATTAAAAAAGGGGTTTGGAATAATAATAAGAAGAATAAAAAACTATATCTTCGTACAACTGTTAAGTATTGAAGAAAAAAAAAACTCACTCTTAGGTTTAGGACATTAAGTGAAGGTTCTTGTCTGACTAGATTATCAAATTATTATTGATTTATTTTAGGGTGGTTCTGATTGTTAATTTTTTAGATTAACAAGAACAAGACAATAGAATTTGAATCAAAATCTCACTTTACACTAATTCAAAATAATATTTTGATCTTCAAAAGTATACATCTCGTACAAGAAATTGTTATTTTAATGTTTTAAAAAAAAAGAGTGTTGTTTATTGATGTAAAGGTTGTGCAAACTAATGGTTTAGTCATAGTTGAAGAAACTGGAGAGTATAATTATAACCATTGATCTTTGAGTGGTTCTGACTTTGTTATTTAGTACATTCAAATCTTTATGTCTGTGAAAAACACTTCAACATGATTTTGTGCAACTATTCGTTTGTTTATATTCCAGGTACCCAAAAAAAAAATGTTTATGTTCTCGGTTTTTCTTTCTTACATCATTCGGAGGCTCATTGATAAGGAACTGGGCCATAGAATGAGAGGAGATATGGATTGGGTCAGTTTTGAAGGGCATTGAATTTATATTTAGGTTCTTTCTTACTGCACCTCTATAATTTCTTTTTATATCCCATCATTTATATAAATTGATCAAAATATCGTTTTACTAGTTTTTATTTGAAACCCTAAAAAGTTTCTTATTTTTTCTCCTCTACACCTCTTTATCTCCTCCGCATGTCCGTAACTCTTGTATATCTGTTTTCTCTTCTTTCCACCTCTATTAAGAATTATTTTCAATCTATAAGACTATAAATTATTAATGTTTTACATATGTTATAGTATATTCATCATAATATTCATAAAAACTAATTATAAGTGAGTTTAGAATGTATTTTTGGATTCGAAAATAAAATTTGCAACAACTAATTTATAATACATTTTTAGAATATCCAATTTAAAAATATATTTCAGATTGATTTCAAAATTCATTTTTGATTGACAGTTTCAGAATTAATTTTTAGAATAATCAATTCGAAATTAATTTTTAAAATAGTCAATCCATAATATATTTTTATGTTTTTGAAAAATTAAATCTAAAAATTGTATATAAAATAAGATTTATTTTAATTATTGTTGATGAAATAAATAGCCTATATTTTTAGAGTTTTGGAGTTGAGCAGTGAATATTTGGAGGAAACATGTGTTGGAGAATCAATCTTGCTGGAGATTATTTGTTGTTTCTTTTTGTTACATTTATGATCCGCAGTACTCGGGACAAGAGAAAACAAAAAATAAATCAAGTTTGAAATAGAAATATTTAATAAATTTAATACGATTTTGTCTGATCAAGAATACTACTGCCATGTACATAAAATGACAAGAAGTTTTTAGCACCTTAAATTTTATGACCAGTTTATTTCTTCTCTCAAATTCTTTTTTTCAAATTAAAAAATTACTCTCTTTAATCCTTGTTGTTTATGGTGTATTAGTGTTGGATGTATTTATTGACGTGATTAACCATGTATAGACCGTCTTATGCCACATAAAATAAAAACTTTCACTTTATTTTTGAATTTTAAGCTAAGTCTCATAAATTTAAATTTTATTATTTTAATCTCTAAATTTAGAAATAATTTTGTAGTCTTCTAAATTTATTATTATCATAAATTTTAAAAATACTAATAGTATAGAAAAATTGCTCCAAGCAGGAGAATCTCAAACTAATTAATTCCTTTTACCATGTTTTCTGACATTAAATATTTTCCAGTCACCACCATTGAATGTCATTAAATATTTTCAATCAACCACTTTTAAATGTCGCAGCTACCACCATTGAACGTCGCAGCCACCAGTTTCATGCAAGTGATTTGAAAAACAAAACCAGAATTTTTCTCTTCACAGTTCACCATTCAACAAAGAATAAGCAAATGTCATTTTGGATGCTAAGCACACATATTTGGTTAACTTAACATGAATGAAGAAACTGTAAAGAGGAAAGATGGAGACTAAAAAGTGCAGAAAAGGGTTTGGTTGGTGGAGCATGAGAAGAAAGGGTTATTGGTCTATGTTAATATTCATACACAAAGTTAAATTATGAATGTACCACAGAAAGCACCATTATTATCATATTACAAATTACTCTCTTTCTTTCCCAAAATCTACAACTACACTTACACCACCATGAATAATTCCATGAATAAAAACTCGTTATACATCGTTAGGGTTATCTGGTCCATCAAACTAATTCCTTAAAAAATGTCTAAGTGGGGGTATATAGACTCATAACACTCATAGATGGAACGAATATAATAAATCTTTTTGATAGAGAATTAAGATTTGATAGAGATATGTACTGGTGTATATAAACTTGTGATACTCATGAATATATTGGAACATAATAAATTCTTTTTTGTTGAAGATTAAGGGATATGTATAAATAAAACTTGAGGATCAACGGTAGTCACAACTTTATTCTTAAAAAACATATTGATTAATTTTGTTCTTAAAAAACGTATTCATTGATTGGGAGGAAAATTATATTTAAATTATCTTTTAATTCAGCTCATAAGCCATGTCAAATTTTATGAACGCACTGGAACACATCATCTGTGGAGGAGGGAAGACAGTTCTGCTAAGGTGGCATGGATTCGGTATCATTGATACTTGACATTACTTCACTTAGTCTATTCAAAGAATTGATGCTGTAACAGGACACTAGTTTGAAGGAGGGGTTTTGCTATAAGCATGGATTGAAGCATTATTTTGTTCTTTTGCTGCATATTTGGAAAACGATGCTGTAAATTAACATCAATGTTCTGGGTGAACTCTGTTGTCCAATTTATGACAATAAAGGAATCAAATCAATGCACTCCAGAAGGGACCAGTAGTTAATAATTCGATTGAAAGATGTTTAAAATTCACGTATCACCCTTCAACAACCAGAATATATTGAATGCAAGAATATTTGTGAGAATATTTTTATGTAAAACAAAATGCTCTTATGGCTTATTTGTTGTGTTTCTTACATACATTCGTTGATACACTTTTTGTTAAAAAAATTAAAATTACATATGTACATCATATTATAAAGAACGAAATATAACTTTTTTTTTCTACACTCCATATTTGTTTGTAACTAAAAAATTAAACTTTTTTTAGGTAAATTTATATATTTTATAAATTTTTATATCAAACATGTTAACGAAGGACGACTATATAGGAAGAATTTTTTTTTAATAAATATTTGTTATTTGAAATATAGATAACGTGTTAAAATTATAATAAAAAATATATATAATCAAAAGTTTATCTATCATCAATTATTGGGACTTTATTTTTCAAGTAAAAATACTTTCTGTGAAAATAGTTTAATCTGATTAGTCTATTTAGAATAAAAAATCATATAATTTAAATTTGCATACTCAATTATTCATATTTCATTTATATTTGTTATAAAAACAAAAATCTTATCATTCTAGATAATTGATTCATTGTTTAAAATAATGGTATTTAGTGTCTAATTTGATTATAATTGATACATTTACAGGCAAATTTTGTCATTATTATTAATTATTTTTTATTGATTGCTAGTCACTATTATTATTACTTCGATATTTCAAATTTTACATTTAAAGTTACACGACTGGTAACATTATTCTAAATCCTAAAATAGTTTTTTCATAGAATTTATCAATTATTCTTATATGTAACAATATCTTTAAGATTCTTCACCAATGTTTTGTCTCAATTTATTTTAACTCTCAAAATATATGTTAATTCTCTTATAGTATTTTGTGAATGACTTTTATAAAAACATTTTTATTTAATGTAAACATTTTCATATTATTGTGATCTTAAAATATTTTTGATAAAATAAATGCTAATTATAGATGACTAATGCAAATAACATTTTTTTATATATGATACATGGAGTCATGTTCATTAAAGTATCTTTAAGAGAAATGCTTAAAGTATTGATTGTTTAAAGAACTTTTAATTAAAAGAATTCAATATGGGACAGGGTAAGTTATTTAATTTTTTAATAATTATTTTATTAAATAATTTATAAAAATACATAAAACAAAATAAATAAAAAGAAAAAATAGAAGAAAAAATATGAATTCTTTAAAAACTATTAAAAGAACTTTTAATAAGAAAAAATAATGTTTAATTACTTAAAAATATAAGACATCATATATATTTTTTAATATAAGAAACAGTTTTAAATTACTCCTATTAAAAATAACTTAATAATAATCTTTTTCACTTTAGAGTTTTCAAAACACATATATTTTATGATTTTATTATGAATATAAGATTTTTTTCTTTTGGAATCAAAGTTAAACTTAATAAAAATATATTAAAAACTCCTTCAAATTAAATAATAAAATAAAATAATCCTACTGAAAATAATTTAAATTTTGATATAAAAATAAAATTTTTGACTCTTATATCAATTTAAAAATATAAACTAATATATATATATATATATATATATATATATATATATATATATATATATATATATATATATATATATATATATATATATATATATATCGGGGCAAGCAAGGGAATCTAATTACAACACGAGGAAAGCAACGGTGAGCCGAATCCAACCAAAAATGAGAAAACATGAATAAGTAGATTTTCTTAGAAAAGTACATAACCACGTGCAGTTAAATTATTAGTTAGATGACGTGGACCAATATTATTATTATTATTATTTTTTTTTTAATATAGAAAAAGTTATACATAAGATATGTGCGGTTAAATTATGAATGACCTGCATAAAACACCCCGATTATATCACAAATATACCAAATAAAATAAACGCACTGTGTTGTCTGGAATCTGCGAAGAACACTAACAGTGCAATGAAGAACCCTCTGATTGAAGCCACTGATACTTATCAAGAGACCCTGACGGGGGCGTGGAAAGCAGTGAAACCAGTTCTGCTGATGGTGACAGTGCAGATTGCTTTTGCCTGGGCCAGTGTTTTCTACAAACTCGCTCTTAACGATAACATGAAGTTCAGTTCTCTTATCGTGGAATCGAGAAATATGATCGATTGATAAATCGGTAAGATAGACAAAAGAAATTATTTGATGTCCAATTAGAAATACGTAGTACATAACATCGAGAGACACAATCAAAAATTGGGTGAATGATAATCAAATGCTTGTTGTCGAATAAAAAACTAAGAAACTAGAATCATATGATGTTGAGGTTAAACCCAAAGCAATGCAAAGTGTTCGATATCATCGAATGCGAAGGGAACATGGACATCGAAACTCTGGACAAACCACAGAGAAGAATAAGTCAAATGCACGTATAGAAAGCAGTTTTGAGACCATGGAAGGAGTCGAGGATCGTGAGGACGTGGAAAACTATAGAAAAAGAAACCGTCATGCACAAAAGAACGTGGTAGCAGTCTTATTAACTGTTCCTGGAAGGCTTAAAGGAGGCCCTATAAATAGAGCAAAGGGGAAGAAGAGGAAAAAAGAAGGGGGGGGGCGAGCAGAAATTGGCAGAAAACAGAATCAGTAGTGAGAAAGTCTATCGGAAAATGACGAACACCATGAAGCTTCTGGCAATCTGGATTTCCATGCTCACCGAGTTCATTTACCGTTTTCTGTATTTTCCTTGGTAATTTACTTTGATGCAATTTAAATTCAGCAGTTTTATGTTTCTGTACTTTCGATTTCTTGTCATTTCAATTCAATGAAAATTTAAGTTTCTGCGTTTAAGTTTCCAGTTATTTATATTTTCTGTACGTTTCGATTTCCCGTCATTTAGTTTTTCATGCAAACTTAACTTCCTGCCATTTACATTTCCGTCATTTCCGATTCCTTGTCATTTACAATTATTGCAAACTTGGGGTTCTCGTAATTTACGTTTCTTCGCAATTTAACATTCTGTTTTTCGATTCGATAGTTTTACTGCTTTCAGTACTTTAAATACAAAATACCAAAAATAGCTTTTCCGATATATTTTGATTTTCGATTCTCATGCATGTTTTCGATTGAAAATCAAATTGCTAGCCTAAGTAAAAAGAACTTACGTGGTAGAATTTTGATTAGGACCAAAACACCCTTAGAATCGAAATCGATCGAAATTCCACCAGAAACAAATTGGCGCGCCAGGTAGGGGGACTTTTGTGTCGAGAAACACAAAATTGGTTAGTTCGAGAGTGTATGAGATTAAGGAGTGGGAGAGTCATGAGTCAGAGTTCATCAAGTAACCAGAGTAACAGTGAGGGATTAAATGGGTCACACCCACCAAATACTGGGGGGCAAAGCCATAATGGGAACACGCCTGTAGTATCGACAACTGTAAGTATGTCGATACCCGTGAGTAATGAACAAAATTCAGGCACTTTAGCGAATACTCAAATAGGATCTAGTGTGGTTGCACCAAATAATATGCAAACTATGGGAAATCCTACAACTACATATGTAGGGCCACGTATGAGTGTAAGACCGCCCGGGTTTTCACTTAATAGTGTAAGCGGGGCTGGAACTTCTTCAGCGCATAGGAATTCGAGATATAACTTAGGAATGTCCCAAACACTAGGTATGCCGCAAAATTTTGGAATTCCTCCGAATTTAGGGATATCTCAAAACTTAGTAATTCCCCAGACAGGGAGTGGACAGAATGTAGGCACACAACAAATATCTCCAAATCTAGATCATAGGGGAAACTTAGAGCATGGGAGACATGTATTCGATAGAGACTATCATCGATCTAATTTTGATTCTATTGAAAACATGGGTACCGGAATATCTAGTAATTCATTAGGGGTACTTAGACAACAAATGGATGAGAGTAATTTTGAAATGGTGAATATGTTATCACAAAAGTTGACCACAGTCTTAAATCCATTAGTGCAAAACACTAATGCTAGTTTTGAGATATTAGCAGACCAAATGTCACGAATCGGGAATGCATTGGCTGTGCCTCGACAAACGAGGATAGAAAATCATGCTAATCAGAATACTAATATTAATCCCCCATATCTATTGAGGAGAAATAGAAACAATGATCAACATCAGCATATGAGAAATGAGTATCAACATGTGAGGAATGATATTTATGGGAATTTGAACGAAGGATTTCAAAATATACACAATCAGAATATAGGACATAGGATGAATTTACAAGGGATGGAATTGAGACTACCCAATCAGACATATTTTGTATCTCCCTTTCCGAATGCGATTCTCGAGACAGAATTGCCTCGAGGATATAAAGTACCCAAATTCACTAAATTTGCTTGGAGAAGTTGGTGAATCGACTATCGAGCATGTGGCTCGATATCGGATCGAATGTGGAGATTTAGCGATGAGTGAAGAATTAAAAATGAAATATTTTCCTAGTTCTTTGACTAAGAGTGCTTTTACTTGGTTCGCGTCATTGCCACCCAATTCGATATATAATTGGTCGCAATTGGAAAGAAATTTTCATGAGCAATTCTTTAGAGGAGAAACTCAAGTGAGTCTCATCGACTTGATGAATATAAAAAGATACAATCATGAAAGCATAGATGATTATTTGAATCGATTTAGACAAATGAAATCGAGATGCTTCACTCAAATTCCCGAATATGAATTAGTCGGAATGGCCTCTGCAGGTTTAGAATTCTCGATTAGGAAAAAACTAGTCAATTTACCATTGAATGACATGGCTCAATTAGCTGATAAAGTGAGAAGAGTGGAACAAATAGAGTATGAGAAACAAAGGTATAAGAAATATGAGAAACCTTTGAAAAAGGAAAGAATAGCATACATAAATGATGTATATGAGACAGATAACATGACAGAAAATGATATTGAAGAAACTGTCGATGAGAAAGTAAACATAGCAGAACTCAAAGTAGGGGCTCCATATACTTGTAAATTGCTACAAAAAAATGAAGTAAAAGATAAAATGGCAAATCGAACATATACTTTTGATGTAATAAAAGCAGACAAAATCTTTGATATTTTATTGAAAGACAAACAAATTAAGTTGAGTGATGATCATAAATTGTCGTCTGCAGAACAAAGGAATGGTCGAAAATATTGCAAATTTCATAATGTTTATGGACATTGGACTAACAATTGTATACATTTCAGGAACACAATCCAAGATGCGATCGACCAAGGAAGGTTGAGGTTCGAAGAAATGACAATGAAAGTTGACACGAGTCCATTCGAGGCTCAAGTAGGATACCTCGAATCCCAAACGGGCATTACTGATGATGTCCGATTAACAAATTCGGCCTTTATAGGCATGGTAGATGTCATCGAAGACATCGATCCTAAGCATGTCGGGATGGATGTATCTCGAGGAAGACATGGAATTTGACTCGAGTGAATTCGAGAAAGAGTTCGAAAAGGAAATATACCCTCGATCAGGAGATTCTCTCATTGAATTTTTGAATAGAAAGAAGGAAAAAGACGAAGATGTGTCATTATGCCCACGTTGCAAGTGCAGTGTTCGATAAATCGGCTGCCAAAGCTTTGCAACGGAACGGATGAAGAAGATCGAGAACCAAAATAAAAGGAAAAATGACAAAGTAGATCAAACAGTCCGACCAACGATCGAAGAAAGTCGACAGAAATCCGTTGGCTCGGTGTTAGTGAAAATCGGAGGCGATGGATTAGAAGAGAGATGTATCCTTCTCGAGGAGGAAGAGGTAGACTTCAAAGTAATGATGTCTTCGAAAGACTCTCGTATGATGATGGATCGACCACTAGATTCCCAACATTCCAAAGAAGATTCCGAGGAAGGCCCTGGAGAAGAGGAGGAAGGATCCCCTATTGGAATAATTACAGAAACTTTGAAGAAAATGTTGCACCGATAGAAAGTCATTATGCAAGAGAATTTTTCGATGACAAGAATGATGGTACTTGGAATGAACATCAAATCGGGGTAATATCAATTTTACCTGCGGAATATGTTAGCGAATACAAAGAATACTAAGAACAAAGAGATGCCGAGCGAGAAGATGACTTCTATTCAGAAAACATAAGGCCAAAAATAACATGGGTAACACAAACCTCATGTGAAGTTCCTCATAGGGACGCTGCTTTCATCGATCCCCCATCTGAGGAAATGAGGTTCCACTTGAAACCGTTATTACTGAACATCGAGATTCATGGACAGATGGTGAATAGAGTCCTTGTCGATGGTGGAGCAGCAGTGAATATACTGCCAATTACTATGCTAAAGAAATTTGGCATTGAGCTAAAAGACTTAGTCAAGCACAATATTATGATTTCCGATTTCAGCGGAAAGACGTCAAGTTCAGAAGGTATGATTGCCTTAGACGTAAAAGTGGGCACTTACTCGAGACCTACTGTGTTTGTTGTGGTCCAGTCGCATGCCAATTTCAATGCATTACTTGGCAGGGAGTGGATTCATGGAGTCGGAGCTGTGCCTTCGACAGCTCATCAAAAATTATTTATGTGGAATCGAGATGGACATCTCGAAGTAATCCCGGGAGATCAGCACGAATTTGTAACATTTGTATCTCGAGCTGATCGAGCACCTGCGAATTCGGCGCTTGCTCAACCATTCACCTTCGAAACAGTCGAAGATTTTAATTCAAAATTGTACGAGGAGTGTTTCCTAGAGATGAATGAGAAGAAAGGATTCGTCATGATCAAAGAGGGGGCCAACCTCGAAGTGGCCGGTGAAGATGAATAGAGAATACGAAGAGTTCTTGGCTCGATTGGAAAAATATGAAGATGGAAAGAAGAGCCAAGAAAGTAGTAGTAGTAGTAGTAAAATAGGGATAAATAAGTCAATTCACTCGACCGTAGTTGCAAATAATAGCGATCAAGTTATACTTGATTGTATTTATGATTATTCTCCTTTAGGTTTTGAAAAACCCATTACATCAAGTCACAAGAAAGTCGAGGCTCAGGATCCACTAGAAGAAATTAACTTGGGGAGTGTAGAAGACCAGAAACCTACGTATATCAGCAAGTATCTCGAAAAAGAATTAAAGAAAGATATGATTTCCATGTTAAGAGAATATAAGGACTGCTTCGCTTGGGAA